TATCCCCCGGGCCGGTTCCTTCCCAAATTTGTCAAGAAGTATGGCGACGTCTGGGGAGAGGCTATTAAGGGTATCCAACAATACCGTGACGAAGTCAAGAGCCGGGCGTATCCTTCCGAAGAATACACCTACCCCATTGCGAAGGAGGAATTGGCCGAATTTGAAAAGGCCATTGAGCATTTTCACAAAGAATAAATGCTCAGGAACCCACCCTGAGTCGTAGTGTCTCATGCTGCGAGCGTTGTTTGATCCAAATTCTGAAGCAGCACATCATGCATATCATGTCCAGCAAGTCGTTTCAGTGATACCTTGGTATTTCATGTTCATGTTCATAATTCTCATACAGTGTCAAATTACCTTTGACAGTTTTGCGCACACTTGCCTTCCTAATCACATTTGTTGTTAGCTTGTTGAGATGTACCTGGTTCAGCCAAATTACCTTTAAATAGTCAAGACAACTGTTGCAATAACACACATCAACCTTTGCTCATCATTAGCCGAAAGCGGGCGTCATAGAGTAAGCAACGATAAGTTGCTCGTCAGTCTTGAAACACTGAATGTTGTAAGTAAACGAGTGGCTTAGATCCACGTATCAAGACGACCTACCCTCCATAAACCACCCACACCTTCGTCTAAGCCAGGAGCAAACACACTGTTGACATAACAGAAAACCGAGTCGGATTCCTTACAGTCCAGCTTCTTCCTGAGAAACTTTACGACTGTTTCGAACTTTTGTGAGGCACTGATTTTGAACACACGGTTCTTCAGGATGGGAGCTGAAGGCAGTGGCTGAAAGCGAACGGTAACTGGTGCACCGTTAGTCTTCTGTCAACATATGGCTTATCTTGATAAGCCGCATGGCGTCAATAGATATGGGCGCTAGCAGTGAGGGGCCAGTCTGGAGCTCGAAACAGGCTCATCATTGTAAACGAGGGAGCATTTGAAACATATTGAGGCAGTAAAGATGTAGTAGTACTGGTAGTAGTTTTACTTGCCTTTTCCCGTATCGACAGCCTCAGCGTCCGCCAATGCTTGATGGGCATCGCGGGGTAAGCTGGTTAGCACCACCGAGGCGGACATGGTCATTGGCAAATCGGCACCGTGTTTGTCGTCTGGTATAGGTGCATTTTGGGTATTCGAGGAAGAATCAGAAGATTGTTTACGATTGGCTGGTCTGTGAGCGAGTTTGGCTTGGTCGGGTTTGGGTGAGTTTTGGGCCGAGGGGCCCTGGGGTGATGGGGAATCCATGTTTGGCGGTAGGGATTAACGCTGGGTAGCGCAACTTGTGCTCGAGGTTAGTTGAGTAAATAAAGCAGCAGACAATATAGTATGAGTAGAAGCAGCGAGAGATGATAAGGAATGTGAAGAAAGAGTGTGCAGAAGATGTTGGTGTTGATGGTAAGGTTGATGCGAGTTGTTGATGTTTCCATTCCCTGGGCTAGGCGCCGATGGACACCTGAGGCAGGGGAGTGGTCCAATCAAAGTGGCAGGCACCATCATCCTTCCATCAACGCTTTCTCTACCATGGTAAGTTTGAATATGAAGAACAAAGCGATCTTCAGGGCTGCCAAGATCCAGATACCACCGGTACATTCTAAGCAAGGGTGGACTGTCAGCCACTCCAGATACTTTATCGCTTAAGAACATATGCCCCCATTCGACCAAGCAACACCTTTACTATCTTTACTATCTGTTTAGCACTACAGTGGCACAATATCACTACCCCGAAAAGCGAATTTAAGATTTTTTCGGGCAGAGTTACATCTGTCAAGCGCCAACCGAGAAAGACCCACTGCGAATTTCGACTTTAGTGCCATGAGGTAGCGATGATGCATGCATATCATCGGGCCCTTGTCTCCATTGGAACGCTCGCGTTGTCTTGACTCTTGGTCAATCTGCACTGAACAAGGCTTTCCGACGTTCATACAAATACAGTGGATGCAGAAATGGGTGTGAATCTGGAGAAACGAAGCAACACTGTTCCTGAATCAGATAACTAGCCAGTTCACTATTGAGATCAGGATTGTTCCCCGGCGTTCCGCTAGGGGACCCATTAGCGACGATCATCCAGTCCCGGCCGGCTAGATTGAATTTTGGGCATCGGGTAGGTAGCCCTGTCAATGCGTAGACAAGAGAACTATTGGTAGTCGGAGAGTGCCTTGACTGTTCATACGGGCAGAGAGTTAAATTTCGGGATCTCCAGTAACATGACAACAGAATCTTTCACTTACAGAAACTATAAATACACCGCGAACGTGACTCCGGGGCCAGCTGACTGGAACATTGATTGATACGCGCCGAATGACTGGGTGGAAGCGCTGCCAGTGACCACTTGTTACCGGTCATTACCAGCGCCCGTCACCTCATCCCCCCCGTCCCCGCTATCAGTCATACTACGTACTACCACCACCACAACCCATTCTTAAGTTCCCCTCTCTTCCCTTTCTCTCCCAATTCTCCCGCCTCAAACAACTCGCCCACTTCCTTCTGATCAAGCGACTCCGCCTCTCGTCCCAGCCTGGCTCGCTTCTTCTCTCTTTCCTCGGTCTTATTATACCCTCCTTACTGCGATCCCTCTCGCCCGCACTTTTACCGCTTCCTTTGATCTGCCCTATCTCTACCCAGAGTCGCCCCGCTCATTGCTTCCCCGCTTCGACCTTGGGGATAGTTTCGATTCCACCCACTTGTGCAATTCGCCTTTGAATCCAGATAATTCGGTGTCGACGGACTCGAGGTCTACTCTTACCTTCATACCTACCTGCTTTATCTGCAAGTCATTCAAGATGAGTAGCCCTAAGCGGAGAATTGAGACAGATGTGAGTACCCCTCGGTACCCCTCATGCCCTTGCGGCGAAAGTGGTGGCGGAAGGAGACTAACGCTCGAGATTCTTCCACTTATAGGTCATGAAGTATGCACTCGCACCGCTATTGCGCTCATACCTTATCGATGACTGACTGACGTTCTGGCAGGATGTACGCACCCTTCCCCGTATCCGGCACCGACCATATCTCCTCCAACTCGGGGAGGAATGAGAACGCGATTTCGGATATGGGACATATCAATAGCTTTCAGGGGGACTTGTGCTGATGGTTTGCATAGGTTGATGAGTGATTATGAGGTGACTCTGGTTAATGATAACAGTGAGTGCCCACAGCCTTTTGCCACCGACTTTTGGATACTGACTCTGAACTGTAGTGTATGCAGACCCGGCTTGCCCCACAATCGTTGGATACCCGACTGATATTGACTGTTCTCCTTGTTAGGCAAGAGTTCTACGTCCGTTTCAAGGGACCGGAAGAGAGTAAGATCCATACACAGTCTGACTATTGCCAACCGGACCTGCTGACATAGCCAGCACCCTTCGCCGGTGGCCACTGGAAGATCCACGTCGAACTACCCGATCAATACCCATACAAGAGCCCGAGTATCGGGTTTGTGAACCGGATTTTCCACCCGAACATCGATGAGCTGTAAGACATATTCGACAACTGTTATCTCCTCCGGCTAACACCACTGCCTAGGTCGGGTTCCGTTTGTTTGGATGTCATAAACCAAACATGGTCGCCCATGTACGATATGATCAACATCTTCGAAGTCTTCCTTCCTCAGCTCCTGCGCTACCCCAACCCTTCGGACCCTCTGAACGGTGAAGCAGCTGCCATGCTCATGCGGGAACCGAAAAGCTACGAGGCAAAGGTCAAGGGTACGTCATCACACCACTTGCAACATGCTCTCAACCAAGCTGACCTGTAATTAGAATACGTAGCCAAGTACGCCAGCAAAGAGGCCGTCGACGAAGCCGGAGAAGACACAGAGTCGGAAGACGAACTGAGCTCGGCAGGCAGTTACGAGTCCGGCGGCGAAGAGCCGGCCGGTACGATGGACGACGTCTAGTTCTGCTGTAGTTCAGTCTGTCTTAGACCATTCGCGTCTTGGTTTGGACATTTCACACCAGTATATTGCATAGGCATCGTTGTCTATTATCTGTTTTCGGTGTTATCTACTATTGCTGCTTTATCTCTTGGGTGTCAGGCGGGAAGGCGTTTCTGGCGGAGTTCTGTCGTTTCAAGGTGCAGCAATCGTCTACGACGGTCGCAAGAGAAGGTAGCTAATGGGCGATCGGATCATGTAACGTGGGGGGTGTGCAAGTGTAGGAAGTCGACCGGCTGATCCGTTTCTCTTCGACAGCAGTGTGACTTCCGCGGTGTCTGTTCTACTTTCCACCTCTCGCAGATGTTCCAACATAAAGACTGTATATCGCTAATGGAGCATTATTGTTATATTACAACCCTACTATAGTAGTCTCATAGCATAGAATAGCATATGGTCTTCTCTAAATCGTATTGTATGTTATCATATCATACAGCAATCGTTTATTTTTCAGCTGTTTAGTACTAGCAGTACTACTGTACTGGCGTCGAGCGCGATCTGCGATCTAACCCAATCAAACTAGACAACACATGAACGAACAAAGGAAATGAATGCACAATGAAAGATCTGGAGAGAAGTAGTAAGTAAAAGCCTCAGCAACAGCCTAGGCACAGAACAAGGGTATAGAATAGAAGAAGAAGAAGAAAAAGCTGAGAAGAGAAATGTAATCAACAGCGCCGATGGCAAAAGGGAGAAAAATGACAACAACATAGTTGACCCCGTCGTCGCCGGCGACCCATCGCGATGCGCGAAGAAAAGAAAAGGGGTATTAAGGGGGAGATGTGTAAAAAAAAAGAAGCAGGCAAGAGGAAACGAGTAAAAAGCAGAAAATAGGAAAAAGAAGGGGGTAACAAGAACAATCAATCAAACACGTCAAGTCAAGTCAAGTGCGATAAGTGCTGTCACGTCCGTTCCGTCACGTTCGTCCATCCATCCATCCATCCATCCACAGCCGTGTTTCATCTAGTAGCCAGCCCCCTCGATAACACACAACACCTCATGGCACCTATCACATTTGACCTGCCGTCATCCGTCACTTTTTCCCCTCATTTTGAATAGTTACAGTTAATCATGTAACCTTCAACACTCCGAACACATCCCTTTTAGCAGCACCGTCTTCATCCGTACTCGACCCCGGCCGCGACCGATTCTTGCGCGTATTTATCACCACTTCGCCCCAGTGTTTCGGCACTGTGCCGCCTGCCTTTGCAGCCGGGGAGGAGGGTTTCTTTGAGCGAGCCGGTGGCGAGTCAGTTGTTATTACTTTGACGGGTGGCGCATCGCCATCGGAGGATGAAGGAGGGGGAACGGTGCTGGGGAGGGTGGCGCGAGGTTGGAGGTGCGGTTGAGGTTGGAGGGACCAGATGTCGATGACGGAGCTGTTGCACATTATCAGTCTTGAGTTCGATATCTGCCATACTGGTGAAGAGAGGCTCACTCTGATGTTCGTTGACAGATTGCTTCGAGGGCTTCTCGTTCGCGCTTCAGATAGCTAGGGTCTGGGTGGTTGCCTTGGGCGCTTTGGTTGAGGGCACCGTAGCCGTAGCCGGGTTGGTAGATGTCTTCATCGAGGAGGCGAGAGGATTCGGGGTGGTTGGGCTGTAGGGAAGGAGATTGGTTAGTTTGGGGGTTCTAGATGATGGATGCGAAGAGGGTTGGTGGAGTCGGGCGCAAAGGGAGGGAGGAGTGTTGGCTGCGTGCGCTTGTCTTTATTTCGGCAAAGGGATATAGTATTGGACTTACATCGTGGGGTTCCCGACGATTACGTCCTAGACATGAGGCGCAGATACCCATTTGTGCTGATCAGATCGGCGGATTAGAGGTGGAGGCGCAGGAGAGATGTTCAATGACGGTAGTGGTGGTGGTGGAGGTTGGAACGGCTTGATTATAAACGGAGGTGTTGGGGTATGGTGAAAAAAGAGCAAGGCGAATGAATGACTGGAATGAGCGTCTGGATGTTGAATTGGATAGTAGAAACGCGCCGGGCGGTGGTGCTCAAGCGAAGATGATTTGCGAGGGTGGAATGCGTGGTTGGTTGGTTAGGTGATTGAGATCTTGGGTGACTTGAAGGGAGTGACGGTTTGGATAATTCGGTGGGTTGGGAGTGGCCCGTGCGAGCCGATGTCATCGGAATCGGGTAGATGTAGTATGAGTGCCTTGATTGTCGGCCATTGGAAGTCACTGGAGGTTCTTTATCAGCCAACTTGAACTTCTAAATAGTTACAATGGTCTCAAGTGTTGGATTTATGCTCCGTTGAATGTCACGCCAGGAAGTGCTGTGGTTACTAGAGGGTTATACAGTCACATGCCTGGTGGAACAATCATGCCGTCGTATGATCTTTGACATTCAGAGGCGACAGCTTATACTAGGTATCCTAGATCAATAATCATTACTTAGCAGTTGGAGATAATGATATACAACTGGTTACTGGTCGCATGCATTCATGTGCGCCTCTAACCCGGGACTTTTGACCATAAACACCAGAAAGCGGATTGCATTGTTCGCATGCAGTTTCTCAGAAAAAAAAGAGCACATGTATAATATACTCATGTTGTCAGACCAATCCTATCGTAACATATAACATACCCTTGTAGATAAAAAGCAAAATGGAATAAAGCATGAAGTCCATATCAATCCACTCTACTCCATACTCCTAGCCATAGACCCATCAATCCTCCGAACGCGTGGCCGCACCACACCCGCCCGTGGAAATAACCACTCACCAACATCCGCCGACATTTTTCACTCCACACCATCAACCCTCAACTGTCACCATCACTCTCCTCTACCAAACCCAATCCCATATACAAAAGCACTGCCGACAGACATGTTCGACCTCCCCAGCGCAAAGCGGTACATCCATCCCACTACACCCTCCCACCAATCTCAATCCCAATCCCAACTTCAATCTCACTAACCAACCCCCAACAACAGCGTCCGTCGCGAAGACCTCCTAACCCGAACATCCACCTCACCCTCACCCTCCCCACCCCCGGAATCCTCCCTGACAGACGTGCACCAACGTCTCGGCGCCCTCCTAAACATCGACTCTCTTCTCGCGCCCCCATCCGACGACAATCCAACAACACAATCCACCACGTCCAACCCAGCCGAAGACGAAGACGAAGAACAAGAATTCGAATTCCGACTGTTCAGCGCCCCCGCCAAATCCTCATCCAAAAGCGAAGACCAAGCATCAGCAGCTGCCGAATCATCTAGCACAACTCAAGCCCAGAAACTACGTATTCGGGTACGTTCGCCGACACCCGGCGCCGTGGGCGTGGAAGATGGACGCTTTGTGAATCCGTTTCGGGGATGGGGGTATTATTTCTCTGCGCCGGGGATGATGGCCGGGGAGAAGGAGAAGGAGCAGGAGGAGGAAGAGAGGTTGAGGGAGAAGAGGAGACAGTTTGAGGATGTGGCTGTTTCGGGGGTGCAGGTTGTGGGGTTTTCGGGGGTTTCGTGGGTGAGTTATTCTATTCTTTATAAATGTTCTTGGTTGGTTTTTCATGGGGGTGGGCTTCGCTGACTTGGTTACTTTATCTAGCCTGGGTGCCATTTTCCCTGGAGGGTTGTTACGTTGAAGAGTGAGAAGAAGGGTAAGGGCGCGGCGGTGACGTGCGCGAAGGACCCCGCGGAACGGGCACCGACGTCGTTGAAGAAGCCTGGCAAGAAGCGCCGGATTCAGTTGCGGAAGCGGGTTTCGGCTGCGGAGGAGAGGAAGAAGAAAGAGGAGGAGAAGAAGTTGTTGGAGGCGGAGAAGCGGAATCGGAAGAATCGTGAGAAGAAGATTAAGCGCAGGCAGAAGGCGAGAGAGGAGAAGGCGGCTAAGGCTGCTGCTGCTGGTGCTGGTGGTGAGGTTCCGGCTGGTCAGATGGATGTGGATGTGTCTTCGGATGAGGGTAGTGATTGAGGGAGTTGGTTATCTTATTGAGTGTATGTATGTTCTTCTAGCTCAGTTTCGGCTTATGATACCCAGGTTGATATCGAATCATCGATTTGATTAATCAGATTTTTCTAGTTTTTACGAAATACACTGCGAGTCAACTAAGATCTTGCTTGACGCGAACAGACTGAATTATTAGACTATGCGAATACGCATGGCTATTGAAAGCAGTACAGGGTATATGAAAAAAAAGGTGGATATCAACAAGAGAAGAACAACAACAACAAAATGAAATCAGCGCAGTCTATGCTGGGGTATGAGAAGATGATGCAAAGTGTAGGAAAATGATGCCACGGGCGAAGGAGTGGATGATGCATGCAGTGAGAGCTGCATCAGCTTGAAGCCTAAGGGCAATTATTTGGTTTCTTTGTCTGCGCATGGTCAGTCAGCCAGTCATTCTTCGTTACATTTGACGACGGGGGGCTGTGTCCTCGACTTACCAGCTGCGTCTCCAGCAGTCTCGGCGGGCTTAGCAGCGGCATCAGATGCACCGGCAGCGGCTTCCGCATGGGTTTCCGTCTCAGGCTTTGCCTCGCCAGCCGGGGACTCCGTCACCTCGAGAGTCGGGGGAGCGGCGGAAACACCACCTTCGGTCTGAGCCTGCTCAGCGGGCTTGTCGGCGGCTGCATTATGACATGGTCAGTAAGTGGTCGCGGCGAATGTTATGAGAGTCGCAGAACGTACCAGGAGTGTTCTCAGCAGGAGCAGCAGCGCCTTCGGGGTTCTCCTCGGCAGTCTTCTTCTTCTTGAAGATAGCCTTGAGCTTGTTCTTGATGTTCTTGAGGAAGGCTGGGATACGAGGTCAGTGAGAAGTCCATACGCGCGTATGCAAGACGATCTGCGGGGTTTCACTCACCAGGCATGTTGGCTGTTGGAGGGGTAGTAAGAGTAGTAGATAAGGAGGGGAAGTTCGGTATACTCGAGAGATGATGAAAGGATCAACAACCACAACGGTGAGATGTAGCAGGAAAGTGTAGTATAGAGAACAAAGAAAAGTTCAAAACACAGAGGACAAGGACAAGAAAGAAATAAAAAAAAAGAAGACTTCGTATGGCGTAGTTATGTGTCCTCCACGTGACGGGGGGCACGGTCCTGATGTTGATCGCCAGCGCCCTTAATCTGTTCTGCTCTTCGATGCCTCCTATTCTTTTCGCTTCAGGGACCCTTTTTCCTACTAGCTACCGAGTAACATCCTGCCTCATCTCCCACCCCCCCTCTTTCATGTCCCCGCCGACCACTGCTGCTGATCCACTGGCGCCGTCATCTAAAGGTTTACCTATTAGTCATGACAACTTAACTAGTTCTCTCGCTAGCTAACCCCTGGGTCTATCCAAACAACGACTCTATCTAAGGAGTTAATATACGAGGGATGGGCAAGTGCATCGGCACCCCGCCGCGTTAGTAACCCTCGGTTCGCGCATCTATTGCCAACAGAGCAGTTGATCCCGGCTCGACTATCCTGTTCTTGCAGTGGTGGTGGCTGCTGCTGCTGCTCAAGAATAGCAACTTAGCAACTTGAATTATGGAGACCATCGTACTTTCTGTCCAAGCGCCAGGGGGTGGTGCATGAAGAAGTGCGAGTCAGGAGTAGACTGTGACTGACTGACTGTATCTTCTGCTTCCCTTCCTCCTGGAAGCGACTTTTTTTTCCTTTTCCCCCCTCATGGCCCTTCTTTTCAGGGGCAACCCTTATCGTGAGACTGACCAAGCGCTGTCAATAAAACCCCGACAGAGAAAATGTACGAGGATCTAGTAGTCCATCACGGGCCCCACTTTTACTTTCGCGAACAATCCTTATTCTGCGCTTATTTGGGACTATTAGATGAATTGGGTTGCCGTGAGTGGAGACCTTGTATATAGGGCACGGAAATTGCCCTACTTCAGGTCAATGGACTCACATCGCCGTGGTGGTTTTTTTGTTCTGAGGGTTGGAAATTTCTGGTGCACTCTATCTTAGAAGGTCCGGTTGACTCCGTCAAATCTTTGTATATTGTTAGTTTGTTTCATCTCTGCATGCACGATGCGCCCGTTAGCCAGTGACAATCTTGGCGGCGCACCGTTTGCCAGTCCATACCCTCAGACTTTTGTTCAACAGTCGGCCGACATGGTGTGTGCAGCACTCGTTAAGGCTATAATCCTGACTTTCAGCTGTATCTAATATTCCAGGTCACGTCCATTGGTGCTTCATTCATGCTTGCAGTCGATGTCCAGTGACGAATGAGTGGTTGTCTACTCCGTACTGGGTGACATGACTGACGAGGCCAGACTTAGAATGATAGGTCGAGTGCAAAAATAGGACTTGCCTGTTTGCCTTAAGTGATTGTGAGATTCAGACCTGTTCATCGGATCAGGGGGGAAGGAAAGGAACTAGACCAAGCGTCTGTTCAAGTCTGATCCATCGTAAATACGACCGGGTCTGAAGAGCCATGGTTAAGAAACCCGCGAAAGTCGAAGATAGCTCACATCAAGGTTCAGCAATAACCGTGGAAGGGCAAGTGTCCGACCGCCCCATTCTCAGTGCCCTGGGATTCGTCGAGAGCTTCAGTCTGCCGAAAGTTACGAAGGGGAGACGAGCCGTCATGGTGGATTTGGATAAGCTTGGAAGCGGCAAATGATCGGTCGCGTTATCGCCCGCTCTTTATCGGAGCGCCGCCCGAATTACCGCCGCTCCGCCAAGTTGCGTTGCACACCAACCTAAACCCAACCCAACCCACCGGTCCACCGCTGTATATCCGACCAGAATATTGGTGGTACAGGTATGCGTGTTGATCAATCCAGAACAGCGGCTTCGAATGGACCTCAAGGAGAGCCGGTGTCCGAACAGACGCCCCTCCTTAGGGATCACTCGCCGAATGAACCAGTGCCTTCGGGAGACTCCGAGGTCCCCTTGGCCGATGAACCCAGCTCGAAAGAGCTCATCCTCGTCCTGGGAAGTATCTGGATAGGAGTCTTCCTGGCTGCCTTGGGTATGACCTGTCCTACTACAGGTGCCTCATCCGCTGGAGCTGACCGTGTTAGACACTACAATTGTCGCTACTCTCACTGCTCCCATCTCATCTTCCTTCCAGTCCTTCACTTTACTGTCCTGGCTCGCAACCTCTTACCTGATATCTAATGCTGCCTTTCAACCGCTGAGTGGACGTCTTACTGATATCTTCTCTCGGCGCACTGGGCTGGTCTTTTCGAATATCTTCTTCGCAGCCGGGAACTTAATCTGTGGTCTCGCGAAAACTGAGGGGACTATTGTGCTGGGGCGCGTCATCGCCGGTATCGGTGGCGGCGGGCTGACTGCGATTTCGACCTTTGTCACCTCCGACTTGGTGCCCTTACGGAAACGTGGGGTTTGGCAGGGGATTGGTAACATCTGCTATGGAGCCGGAAGTGGACTGGGTGGTGTGTTTGGAGGATGGATCAATGACACTCTGGGATGGCGATGGGCCTTCCTGATCCAGGTACCTTTCGTCGTGGTGTCCGGCATCCTCGTAGCGGCCACAGTTCGAGTGCCGGTCAAGGCCACTGACAACGCCAAATTGAAACGGGTGGACTTCCTCGGAGCTCTCACTCTGGTTGCCAGTCTCGTTCTGCTCCTGCTGGGGTTGAACACTGGAGGCAACCAGGTGCCGTGGACTCACCCTCTGATCCTTGTCTCATTGCCGCTCTCCGCGGTATTCTTTGGCCTCTTCATCTACGTTGAGGCCAACATCGCGTCCGAACCGGTCATTCCTGTCCGGTTGCTACTGGATCGCACAGTATTTTCAGCCTGTCTGACTAACTGGTTCAGCACGATGGCGGTCTTTGGACTTTTGTTCTACCTGCCGTTGTTCTTCCAGGTCCAAGGCTTGTCCGCCACAAGTGCGGGTGTGAGACTGATCCCCCAAGCCATTGGAACCTCTCTCGGCTCACTGGGATCGGGGATTCTGATGCGGTCGACCGGGCGATACAAGATCTTCAGCTATGTGTCCATGACTTTGATGGTCCTCTCCAATGTGCTGATCTGCACGCTGTCACTCACGACCCCGTCCTGGCTACCCTTCATCTACTTCTTCCTGATGGGTACTGCCTATGGGAGCATGCTGACCATTACGTTGGTGGCACTCATCTCTGCTGTAGACCATGAGCACCATGCAGTCATCACATCCGCATCATACGCATTCCGCAGCACGGGGAGCACCATTGGCATCACCGTTGCCTCTGCCGTGTTCCAGAACATCCTCAAAACCGGACTATGGTCTCGGTTCGGAGATCGCGAGCATGCTGGCGAGCTGATTGGTCGAATCCGCGATAGCCTCGAGGAGATTAGGAAACTCCCTGCAGACTGGATCCCAGGGGTGTTGGATTCATACATGGACTCATTGCGCGCCGTGTTTCTGACGTTGCTGGGACTCAGCGTACTGGGGGCGATAGTCAGTATGGGAATGCGCGAGCACAAGCTGCATTCGAACTTGGCGCGGAGAGAAGAATAGAAGAAAAGAACGGCGATTGATTGTGGGCGATATGTAAAATTGGAGACAGCGTAAGAAATAGAGAACATACTACTACTTGTACCGACCATTCCTACCGAACAGAACAGTAATAGCGACATCATCATCGGGTCAAGGCTGCAGGGTCCACCGCCCACCCGCCAATAAGCGCCGGTCTCTTCCGCAGACGAACCAGGAGTTCCTCTCCAGCGCAGCCTCTGGATCTTCCATTAGTTGAAAGACGAAACATATTCCTCTCCACTGAGGTAGCAGTGGCACGACTCTCCTCCTCCTTTCTCTCTCGCTTCTTTTTTCCCTCTCCTCTAAGTTTCCCCCGTCTCTCCTTAATCTCCTCTATTCCGATCATCCCCGAATCTCCTTAGAATCGATACTTGGACGATAACCTGGGTGGCGTTGAAAGTTGCACTGCAGACGTGGCGACGGCAGACATCTTGGATACTTTGACGCCCAAGCTCCGTTGCTAACTGGATTTCATTAACAACTGAACTAATTAATTCGCCCTGCAAGTCCCGCTGTTGCTTCAAACCCGGCACACCGCTTCCTCCCTAGCCTGTCCGATCAGCCCACCCGTCAGTCAACACGTACTGCTTCCAGATCCGCAGTGCGGTCCGGTTCCTGCCCTCGTCTTGCTGTGCATGGCTTGGGCTTTCTAATTACTGGTCTGGCCTGGAGGGTGAAAGCGACAGAGAGAGCTTTACATTGGGTTGCAATTGATCGACCGCTAGCCCCGGCTGGCCGACTTATATTCATACAATCGTCACCAGCTTGGATTTACTTTTTCTGTTGCAGGGCATTTCCTTCGCCGTTCTTGCGCACTGGCTGCGATTTCTTCCTTTCGACGGTACACCAAAAGACTAATCCGGGGTTTGCTGGCTGCACAATCCCTGCAGGCGACAGGTTCTGGGCGCTCTCCCTTTCCTCTCCAACGAATCGAATCGTGACGTGACTGGACTATATTACCGCGGGATCTGCGTCTTAGATCGTTCTCTTACGACATATTTCTTCTTCCGTTCTTTCCTCACTGTGATGGCTGTCGGTTTTGGCGCAAGTTTCCCCTCGACCTCGACTGGTGTCGCAACGGTGGTTTCAAAGGGTGTCTGGTCGTCGGAAATGGAGGTCACTACAGAAATGGGAGGAAAGTTGACGGAAAATACCACTACGACCCCCATGCAAATAGATAATCAAATACAAGAAGCCCCGGGCTCTTCTCCTCCTCGTCGGAAACGCTTACTCCTCTCCACCGAGAGTGCTTTTGTCGACAACATACTTCCATCGCTGGTTCAGAATCCCGATATCGAAATACGATTGATCACGGACGAACCCTCCGCCCTTCTGTCGGGCGCAAGCAAGGTTCCTCATTATATGGACACGGTGGATAGTCAAACATTCGAAAAGAAGACTGGGGCTCGGAAATGGCTCAAGGCCAAGGCGGCGGAATTGTGCGAGTGGGCTGATATGCTGCTGGTTGCGCCGATAGATGCTGGAGCGTTGGGGTCGATGCTATATGGGCTGACCAACACGTTGACGTTGGCGCTCCTGCGGGGTTGGATCTCGTCGAAGCCGGTGGTGCTGATCCCTGGAATGACAGTTTCAGAATGGCACCATCCTTTGAGTAAAAGGCAACTCCGAGAGGTGGCAGAGTTCTGGCCATGGATAAGTGTGGTGTCACCGGTGCTGTGGGAATCGGTCAGTCCGGAGGAGCTGGTTCAGTTACCATGGGAAGGCTTAAAAGAACTACATGAAGTTCTCGAACGAACTTTGGGTCTATCGTTCTCTCAGGTCTCCACCAAGCCTGGTCAGCTTACAGATTCTACATACCCGACCGGCATTTCGGAGCAGATGCCTGGTGATGCGGCGTCCACGATATCGCGACACCTCCTGCATCGAAGCAATAAAACGGAAAGTGGCCCGCGCTCACTACCCATGGAGCTATGGCTCAATATCTTCGAAGACCAATTACACGACTGGGAAATCGCAAAAGCAGTCGGTATTCCAACCAATCTGCCCGTGCCGAAGGAATGGCAGAATCACCTGTTAAAGATGTCGACCCCGGCTTCCTTGGAATACACCATTCTCAGAGGATCCTTCGCCGCAATCAAAAAGCGCATTGACAGCCTGCCGCGATGGAAGCCCCTCTCCGACCTGGTATGCCACCTCATCTTCAAGTTCTCTCGAACCGATATCCTCTCCTACCTCACCGAAAACCATCTCGATTTACTCTGGACCACCTCCCGACTCACCAACCTGCCATACCGCGCATCCGCCATCTACGGAAACCCCAACATCCTCACATGGTGGCGCGATGCCCCCGCCCTCCCCAACAAAGAATACATCGCCGACGCAATGGACGGAGCCTCCCGCGCCGGCTTTGTCAACGTCCTAGAATGGTGGCGAACCTCCGGCCTTGAACTTCGGTATACCGAGCGCGCCCTTGAAGCCGCCAGTGCCGAAGGCCGAGTAGCCGTCCTCGCCTGGTGGAAAGCCGCCTCGGCCAACGCACCCCCTTCCAACCCCATCCCCCTCAAAGTCGGCAAATCCGTCCTCCTTGCTGCCCAATCCGGCCGTACCGCTTCCCTAGCCTGGTGGGACGCCTCTGGCATTCCCTACACCCATGGTGAATCCGTTGCCCGCATCGCCAGCACACACGGCCACGTCCACGTCCTCGACTTCTGGTACCGTCTGAAAGGCGCCAAGATGATCTTCGACAGCCAAGTTCTCGTCGGACCTACGAAGAATGGCCACGACAACGTTCTGGAATGGTGGCGTCGCAGCGGACTCCGCGTCGAGTTCAAAACCTGCGATATTGAAGAAGCTCTCGAAGACGCGGACCCGGTCTCCGGTGCTGAAGAGCGTGTCCGCAAATGGTGGGCTCGGAACGGGCTTAACCTGGGTGTTGGAACGAGTGAGTGGATGAAGACGAAAGTGTTGTGATTGATAAGGTTTAATTGCTCTTATTACTTGTTAAGATACCTCTTTCTTTGTTTCCCGTTTCGCCTTATTCCTTCTTGTCTATTCACACCAACATGATCGAAAGTTACTTCTAATACCCCGTTATTATCTTCGTTTCTTCTCCGCTGGCGTCATTTCTACCATTCCATCGTCCTTCTGTTCATACCTATTTTTCTTCTATTTCTTTGCATGGAGGGCCTGGGCTGGTATATATTATCGCATTGCATGCATGCTATCGTGCATGGGGGAAGAATATGAACTCGGTATTTAGCGTTGGTTTGATCGTTGTACCTTTTTGTAGGTTAGGGTAAAAGGCAACTCTTTTATTTTACTTTCAATGTTTCGTTCAAGTAGTACGAGAATTTGGGTCTGTAAAATGGAGATTCCATTACACGTCTCACGATAATGTGGCCAAATGTCTGTTGAAATATAGATATGTGGAAAGTATAGAATCATTGGTTTGTGAGAGGGAACCGAAAATAATACATACTAGTTGATAACCTATGAAAACCATAGTACTACTCATGGTTAATGAACTATATATACCCGTTAGTAACTATTTACAATCGTAATTTACTTTCATCATATTGGATAAACTACTATATATTTCACGTTACCATTCACGAACAACCCCGCGAAGCCCCTTTGAGTAATAAGTAGTAGTAGTAGTAGTTGTAGTTGTTGTTGTTGTTGTTGTTGTATTGTACCGTGACATTAATTCAACCATTTTCGTTCTTATTGTGTGGTTTGCTTCGACTTTCATAAGATGTATATAAGTATACCTTGGATATGAAAGCACTAGTAAGCGCTCACCTATCTAGTATGTAGTGTAGCTGGGTATACCTTTTATACGAATCTACTGGAGGTTCTCCAGACCCCTTACCTAACTGAATTCTTTCGGTGACATTGGTATAGCAGAATCAATCATAGGGTGCTACTTCATACAAAAAACTCATTCTAACAACTACCCCGTGCGCCTCATGCCATGCGGACACCAGCCGGACAAAGGTCAATGAAGAAAAGGGAAATGGAGTGACGTCAAATGTTTAGGCCGTCCTTGCGGAGTTCATACTTCTTTCTCTTGTCGTAAATGAAATGTGCAGGCCGTTTCAGAATGGATTGTGTGCTTGAGTTGGGTTGATGTGATATCAAGTGATGCGATAAAAGGCGGGGTAGGGAGGTGTTCGTCTAAACTTCTCTCCTGCTGGGGTATTAGGCGTAGATCTAGTTATTTAGTAGGAGACAAACCTACCAGGTAGGTTCATGCTTCTCAATTCCAGGAGTGCGAATGGCGTTGCGGTCGCCAAATGGATTGTCCTCATCATCGTCGTCTTCCGTCTCTGACTCGCTGTCATTGTAGACTTTCCTTGATGAGGATGGTACAGATATGCTCAAGGGGCGAGGGGGACGAGGTGGCTTCGGGGGGTTGACAACCAGCCCTGCGAATGAGTCGGGCAGGTCGTCGCGGTCAGGGGTCCATCCCGTCTCCAGGACATCCTGGTCGCTGTCACTGTCGTAGTCTACACTCTTGTCTAAGACTTCGAATGCCATAAGTGAGGTGACTAGCTCCTCGTTTGCGTGAATCAAACTACCCAGAAACTCCTCGCTTTCCACGTGCTGGATGTATCGCAGAATTTGGCGCCGTAATGTTTTGCAAGTCTCAAACCGGTTGAGGACTTCGGCATCTTCGCTGACCCGGTGCGTTTCGCGGTTGACTAGCTTGAGGGCGTTGAGAAGGTTGGTGCTGGCGACGGAGGCTGATGCGAGGGTCTGTAGAATTTCCGGCTTCTCTTTCTCGAGGTTGAAAGACCTGCTTAGCGTCTTCTTCTCCTTCTTTTCCTTCCTGAAAGATGAGAGGGACGATTTGCTGGATGTGTGCTTGTGCTTGGGGCCACTGAGAACTGTAGCAGGTCCATTCCCGGCTGACACGGACACCGTATGGCCCATCGTAGGTTCGTCTGATTGCCCCGCATCTCGCAAGATTTTGGCTTTTGCCTGAGTAGCCGGCTGCTTACGCTTTGGTAGTTGTCTGTAAAGACCTGTAACCCGCTCCATGCCGGGAGTGTTCTTGTATGAGGCAGCCCATTGCCCGAAAAGCTGTTTGCATTTCTCTTTCACCAAGGGATCGGAAACCGGGTCGGTCGCAGCGATTCGTAGTCGTTCCAGTAAGGGCTCATCTGCAAATTCCCGCAGAAAGCGGTCGCCGGTGTTCTGGATTAGGAAGTCGAGGATTGTAAGGGCTCGCAATTGGCGGTGAAGATTGCCATACTTGCTGGGAGGGCGTTAGAGCGCTGTCGAGCAGAGGGAGTGAATACACTGACAGTTTCTTACGCAAAGCGCGACTCGCTTCCGTAGGACCACTGGCCTGGATGCGAATGGCCTCGATAAGATCCACGATTCCACTGGAATCTTCCACCTCATATTGTTCGCTGGTGAGGACCTCGATCTGGACCGTCACAGCCGAATACGGCTTCTATAAATGAGTACATGTATTAGTCCGTGAACAAGGGAGTGATGGAACCACATTCATGTCTGTGAGTTTGCAGATAGATGTGAGTGTTGTGTAATTGACACTGTTCTCAATGCCAATTGGGCTAGGCCGCGGGAAGTTGCCAAATAGACTTACCGAGGAGTGAAACATGGTGAAAGCACCGGACGAGGAAGTGTATAGAGTCGATATTCAATGACGACGACAGATAAAGACAGCCCCGCAAGTATTCAGATATGTGAAGACAATGTTTGGAACTCTCACATGCGTATCGAATTGTCACCAATACATACAGGAGGATCGACCCAGTTAAGGAGAGGTGGGTCGCGAGACGAGACGCAGTGGATTGAACCCCCTTTGTCCTCTTGGTCCTCACAATTATATGCCGCCGACAAGCAAGAGAGTGAGCCCACAATGGTCTTACCCAACAGGGACCCTTCCCGGTGCCTAGAGAGATAGATATCTATCCAGCGCGCAGCGGGGATGAAGCAGAACGGTGACGTGTTAGGCCAACTGGATAGCCGCTGTGCTGCCTTGGCGGGGGGTACAGAAGGACCTGGTGCACTAACAGTAGTAGCTTTGCATTGGCAGACTACTCGGCAGTGAATTGATCTCGCAGACCAGCAGCGTTGGAGCCGTTTGAGCTGCAGCAACTGCAAGAGACGAAGGATTGGACCGGCGCCTCCAACGTCATGCGGTGTTGATTCCATCCCGATCTCGTGACTGCCCCTCTTGCCCGTCCCAATTGGGACAAGTGCGGGGGAACTTTCCGACTCAGTGCCTGATTTGCCTGATGTGCGCCTGGGGCACTCTCCAATGGCCCACGCCGATCCCGGGCTTCTTCATTCCTGCGAGTTTGAACGGACAAGCATAATCCCACGAGCATTTCTGACCCCAGTGGTTGGACCTCGTTTGACGCAGGAACTGCTTGGATAATTAACACAGACTGCTCGTATCCTGTTGCTCAGCTATTCGCCACCCTTAGTATCCCAATTCCATGGGTCTCTGGTCAACGAATTCGGCAGATCCTTGCTCCATTCGCAGGCCGCGTACTATCTCCATCTTCTCCCGTCTGGTCCTCTGCTCCACTCTGCTACTGGGTGTCAGCTTCATCTTAAAAACCCGCCCTCATCTGCTTCCATCCCTCCCCCACCTATCCCCCTCCTACTCCTCCTATACCCAACCCACCACCATGTCCTACCAACAAGAACGCTACATTGCCGAGCTGGCCGTCCAGCGGGCCACCCTCCTTACCCAGAAGGTCTTCAACGAGAAGGCCAAGGGCACCGTCTCCAAAGATGACAAGTCACCCGTTACCATTGGCGACTTCGGCGCCCAGGCCTTGATCATTCAGGCCATCCGCAAGAACTTCCCCAATGACGAGATCGTCGCCGAAGAGGAGGCCAGCAGCCTCCGCGAGGACAAGGCGCTGAGCGCCGAGATCTGGAGACTCGTTCAGGATATCAAGTTGGTGGACACCGAGAGCGACAACCTCCTGGGAGGCCCTCTGCCTAGCGAAGAAGCGATGCTGGACATCATCGACCAGGGCAAGAGTGCTGGTGGTGCCAAGGGTCGTATCTGGGCATTGGACCCCATTGACGGCACCAAGGGTTTCCTGCGTGGCGGTCAGTACGCCGTCTGTCTCGGTCTGATCGAAGACGGTGATGTCAAGGTTGGTGCCATTGGCTGCCCTAACCTGCCTATCAACGATGCCGAGACCATGTCCGCGGGCATCGGCGCCGAGCAGTCCAGCGGCACCGGCAAGGGTGTCCTCTTCTCCGCCATCCAGGGTGTTGGTTCCATCAGCCGGCCCCTCACCAACGGTGCTCTCGCGGAGAGCAAGTCCATCTCCATGCGCCCCGTCCCCGATATCGCTCAGGCCGTGTTCTGCGAGGGTGTCGAGGCCGGTCACTCCGCTCAGGACGACAACGCCGCCGTTGCTAAGCTTCTCGGTATCACCTCCCCCAGTGTGCGTCTGGACTCGCAGGCCAAGTACTGCTCGATTGCCCGCGGTGCTGGTGACATCTACTTGCGTCTGCCGGTGCGGAAGGACTACCAGGAGAAGATCTGGGACCACGCCGCGGGTGACCTGATCGTGCGGGAAGCTGGTGGTCAAGTGACGGATATCTACGGCCAGAGATTGGATTTCAGCAAGGGCAGGACCCTGGCGGCCAACAAGGGAGTTGTCGCGGCCCCCAAGGCCCTTCAGGACCAGGTCATTGGTGCTGTGAAGACTGTCCTGAAGTTGTAAGGGCTAGGTGACGACGATAAAGGGATTTTCTATCATGAATGTAATAGATTCTCGATCAGTTCTGTCAGACCGTGCACGCTAGATGCGTCTCTAAAAGTACATAAAAAGAAAGGATACCAATTGCGAACCAAAAGAACCGTGCTCGGATATACATGTACAGAAATAATAAACACAGTTTCGTTCCCCCAAAATATAGACGCCAATTTCAACGAATCTTCTTGTCCTTGAGCTTGATCGTCTCGCCGTTGACGAAGATACCCTTGCCCTTGTAAGGTTCCGGCTTGCGCCATTCACGGATCTCCGCCGCGAACTTGGTCACAAGCTGCTTGTCCACACTCTCCAGCAGGATACGAGTCGGCTGAGGTGTGCTGGCCTTGACGCCCTTGGGAATACCCAGTTCAATGGGGTGCGAGTATCCGACCTTCAGGGACACGAATTGCTGACCGGGGTATTGGGGCTCAACGGTGGTTGCCGTGGGTTCAATGGTAGCTCTGTAACCGACACCAACGAAACTCAGAATGCAAATGTGACCTTCCGAAACTCCGAGGATGTGGTTCTGTAGATGGGCGCGCATGGTTCCTAGAAAATACATCACTCGTCAATTATGATCCAGCAATGAATTCATTTCCAACGGAGTAACGCACCCCACATAGCACGCTGGTGAGTGATCTCTGAGTCTTGAACGGCAAGAGTAGCTTTGCGAAGGGCTTCATCGTAGTCGATTTTCACGTAGGAAGGGACGTTCAGCGACAATTCACCTAGCGCTCAAATGTCAGTTTCGCTCCGCTTTTCCGCCGCCGCCGTTATGAAGAGTAGCCATTGCTCCTTACCCAAGGGTCCTTTAACCTCAACGGCCATGTTAGGGAAGTCAACAGACTTGGCCTTGGTCTTGGGCTGAGGGAGGTCGATGAACTTCAGGGACACCTCCGGGGGCACGGTGATCGCGGCGCCGCCAACTCGCGATTGTACCGGGGACGTGGTCGAGAAAGGTTGTGTCCGGAGAGGGTGAGAGAAGGCAGGGACGAGGAAGTTGGGCAGAGGTCCTTGTCTCAAAGGACTCCGCGCAAGCTGCCTAAAGCAGCTCTGAGACAAGTAACATGACATGGCGACGGTAATTGTGGATTTGAGGTCTGGATGAGTGCTTGGGAACTCCGATGCCGACTGATTTTGTCCGGAGATCTTGCACTCCCGATGTGGTTAGTGTGGTGTCACGTGATTGGTTGTATAGATGGCGCGCTCTCACTTCCCTTTTACTTCCTCCACATCACAGAATGTTGTTTGAATAGCTGTGGAATTGTTTTTCTAAACCCTAGTTTGAGTTGATCTCTTGTTTTATCTATTGTTCTGATATGATCACCGGGTGTCTCAATCCTGTACTACGGCTTCAGATGTGCTGTTGCTTTGACTGTTGCTAAGATATCAATTGCTGCTTCGTACTTTTAGCTCGCAACTTGTATACCATCCAATCGCTATTCTTTTCTTTTATCTTCTCTGCTTGATAATATCTGCTATTCTAATAAGCATAACCTCTGCGCTTTTCTACAGCTAACATCCCCAGGGTTGCGACATATCACCACAGCCAAAATACCGGGAAGCTCAGGCATTAGAATGTCCTTCACTTTGTTACGCTACCTAATACTAATACTAAACATCTGCAATGCCACAATTTCTGCTAGTCCAATGGATGGTACGTCTGCTTACACTCTTGGTTGAGCTTACGCTAACCTACTAGCAAGTGCTTTCGGCCGAAGACCGAAATTCGAATATAGACGTCGATCTAGCCTCTTTATTGACTTCCAAAAGCCACCAACGAGAAGTACTATTTTCAGATGCACTTGGGCTTCTGCAGTCAATGCAGACTCTTCCATCCTGCCATCAAATGGCAGTTTCAAAACTGGTTACTTCCTGCCAGTCGATCGGGGGGAGATCTGACAAGCCGGACCCACACACATTTACGACGCTGGAGCACATCCGCTCAATATACGCGGCAAGACTTGCCATATGTGAGCTCAATGAGGCGGGTGCTGCAGTTCCCACTTCATGTCATTCTATAACTATGCGGCTGCCGCAGAAGAAAGGGCTCTTCGGGCTGTCCACCGGTTATAAGACCCATTTCAATACTGCAGAAACCGTAGCCAAAGGACAATTGGAGTCCTGTCTTCGTTCTCTAGAGTCACGGCCCCAGTGGTGGACATCATATAGTAACAGTAGGCAAAATGCCGTGGTCATATGCCAAGCAGCCAGATTCGAGAATGAAAGGGAGGAAATTATTGAACTCCACCGGTCTATTATTGAAGGCACGATAAAGCTTGATCATGGGCTGCAGGAAGCATTGAAAGTGGCTGCAACTGGGATTTCTCAATATAAGGAGTTCCTGCAATCAGTCGAAGTCATGAGAAGCAAGCTGGTCGTCAGCATGGAGGAGACGGAGATGCACTTCAAAACTAGGCTCGAGAATTTGATCCTCGACATGGGTGTCCACGTTGGCTCGATCCTAGAGCCTGTGGTTTCCACTATTAGGAATCTACATAGCAGCACGGCGTCTCTTGACAAAGTTAGTAAATCACAGCTTGCTAGAGCTATGACTGACGTATAGCAGGATATAGCAAACGCAGCAGAAGGTGTCAACAACTTACGGGACATCTTGAAGCTCGTTCAGGATGAAGGCATAGCATGGGGCCAACAGCAAGCAGTGACTCGACAACAGGATGCTCTTGCGTTTAGTGACCTAGTTTCAGACGTTCAAGGCGACATGGAAAAGCTGTCTGGTACTGTAGCAAACTTCGAGTCTGCCCTAGTAAGCCCTGCCTTTCCATAAACTTCTAGAGATTGACTGTGGTAGGAATGGCTTGCGGGCAGGTTTGTCCATATACTTGAGCAAGAGCAAGACATATCTAAGGTTAGCATTAGCCTGTTAGAATGGGTAATTAGCTAACCTTCTCAGCGTCTGAGTAATCTTGAAATCGCCCTAAGTGGATCTCAAATAATCGCCGAGGACTTGCGCAACGCTCAGCTAGGGCAGAATGAACTTCAAGAGCATCTCCTCACAAACATACGGATCTCTCAAGCTCTTGTCGATAAAACAACAGCCGCAGCTGCGAACCTGCAGACAATTGTCGACGACACCGTGAAACGATATGAAGAGGTGCCTGCTTCAAGACGTCTCTTAGGCTCATACCCTGCACCCGTGTATAGCCTTCTAATCGGCTTTGTTGGTGCACAGAGCCCCAAGGCAGCGCTAGTGTTACTCGTTGTTTCCATATGTATGTAATCAATGGTCTATGCATGACTTAGGCTTGTTGCTGATATTGTTGATCACAGATCATTTCCTCCTTGACTCATGATATCACGGTGACGTGCATAATGTGGCTTTCTATACTATTGCTGTCATATATCTATAACATGATACTCAGTGATCAAAATGATACACTATACGATGGTCTGGCTTTCAGTATATTTGCAATGAGCGATAGCACCTTAATGTAGCACTAAGGGACTGTCAGGGGCCGCTCCGTATACTGGTGTAAGAGAATAGTAAACCTCTGAGTAAAGAGATAATTATAGCAGATCCTATAGAAAAAAAATGTCAACCAAACGGTGATAAGCTACCCGGAAGAAAAAGATACTGACTACCTAGAGGCAGGCTCTAGGCATAGTATGAACAAGGGATGAGAAGTTAGTCCAGATGGACTGCCTGAGCCTTTAGGGTTAAACTGGGCAGAAAACAGCGGTATTATGCGGCAGAAAAGCGCCCGCCGATCAGCAGTCAGTCTCCCTCCACCCTTCGCCATTCCCTCCCAGCCTCGCTGATCTCGATCTCGACCTCAATTGTCTGAAGAAAATCTGTGACCAGGCGAATAAATATTTAAACTGTACGTGCTTCATTCCTACACTGTCATTTATATCCCTTCTTCCCGGAGACATCAATCGCAACCCCCGCAGCAAACGTCTCCGATCCACACGCAGACCGCCTTCGCAGCTGGAGCGGGCATCTGGGGTTGCGGTGTTCTCCCCCCAGAGCGCCACCTTCGAAGCAAGGTTAGCTGGCTTGATCTCCCCGAGACATTGCTGTGGATGGCGCAGGGGGTGGTTGCACACTCTAAAGGTGGTGCGAGCTCCTACTCGGTGGAAGATCGAACACGATGCGTTTCCTTTCTGCCTGGTGATAAGCTGACTTGCTCCCCGCGACTAGCGTTGAGCCTTGATCGCTGGTTCACCACTCGAGCTACCACGGATCGTTTTTATTGGTCGTATCGTCCGGCATCGTGAGCGCGTACAGTCGCATTAAACCCGCGATCGGAGCGCACCCAGCTTTTTCACTACAACGTCACACAAGATAATGACCGATCCCACTTCCGACGCACCTGCTATGGACGAGTTCGCGCAGACTCGAGGTGGCGATGACCTCTTCGACGATGAGATCGTCCCCGTTCCCGCCGTTGAACAGCAACCTGAACCCGAAGTCCACACGGAACCTGCCCCCGCTCCTGTTGTTGAAAGCGATGCGCCGCCACCTGCTCGAACTGACACCCCATCATCACGGTCGCGTGGAGGCGAAAGGCGAGGACGGGGTCGAGGCAGAGGACGTGGTGGGCGGGGATCGCATAATGGAGGCCGTCGTGGGGACGGGGCTGTGAAGAACAAGCCAGTTGAAAGTGCTCCTGAGCATGAGAATAAGAATGGAGAGGGTTCGACTCCGGAGTCGCCGGCTGAGGGAGATCAGAATGGCAAGGAGGAGACAACGGCGTCGGATCCTAAGCAGGCTGCGGCCGCAGAGGGACCGCGCGTGCCTGCGGTTCGCGGAGACAGAAGTGCTACGGGTGGTTTAAAGAAGGTAGGAGCATCCACGATATCTAGATGTATGCTTGCTAATGCGCTCCTAGCCGAAACTTACCGAAGAAGAACTGTCCCGTCGTATTGCTGCCGCCAAAGAAAACGCTGCCAAAGTTGCCGCTGCACATGCTCGAGCTGAGGCAGACCAGGCGTCGTTCCTTGAGCGCGAGAAGGTTGCCGAAGAGAAGCGACGCCAAGAACGCCAGCATCGCAAGGCCATGGATAATGAGCGGGAGCGTAACCGACTACGCAAACTGGGTGCCTTGAACGGAAGGGAGTGGGACGCCGAGAAGAAGGATGAACATTACAATCCCCGTGGTGGCAGGGGCGGCTTCCGACGAGGTATGCACGGCGGTGTGTCTGGATATGTCCGGCGAGACTTTGATTCCCAGCCCAGTGAAGAAGCCAGTGAAGACGCCCGTCCACCTCATCATCGAGGCCGCGGACGTGGTGGTCGAGGTGGACGTGGCCGCGGTGGACATCGCGGGCCTCGAGGAGATATTGCAGCGTCCGATGGTGCTGCTGACCAGCCTGCTTCGGGTGAAACCAAGCCTAAAGCATCTGCTCCAGTCATCAATAACGAGTCTGAGTTCCCATCTCTACCTGGAAGTGAGAAGAAAGAGAAGGAGAAGGCTGGTGAGGAAGCGCCCCCTACCCCTGATCTGCTCAAGTCGGACTCCTTGTCACCAGTGGCGGGAGCTTCCTGGGCCGATCAAGTCGAGTCTCAGTAATCATACATTTACGAATCTGCCCGCTTTCCTGATCATTGTGATATGATTTCAACTCTAATATGCGCCAAAGACACATGAATTCTTGCACTCATATTCCCCTAAACAGTACTTGTTGCTTGCTTTGATACGATATCATTCGAATGGCCTACGAAAGCCTTGCCCATCACTATGCGTCTTTTTCAATATCCTTATCCTTCAAGAGATGAAAGCTTTGCTTATACCTGCTTGGTTAGCTATGACGTGATGTACATACCTATACCGCACCGCAATAGAGGCGAGTCTCATCCCACTGCCTTGGGGTATACGAATTAGCCGTACTAGATACTAGGACATCACCTGCATGAACTATGCGATCATCATTCATCCAATGCCCATCAATACAGTCAGTCCAGAACGCCCTAAGTCGTGGCATTCTTCTGCGTAGCTTCCATGGATATAACATCCTGACTAAGCCGAGTGGCAATAAACGGCCAATCAAGCAGACCCCTATGACGTTTGTTCATGATGAGATCACTGCCCTTCATGAGAGATTCTCGACTATAAATCGCCCAATTTCGATCAGAGACAGAGATTGATTTATCATTGTTATCTCTATATAACTCAAGCCAAACATCTAGGTAAGTTAATCGCCATCTGGTTATACGAAAATCAAAATATATCATCACCACAACCATCTACCCCAACTATATATACATATACAACGTCACCGACATCGCCCCAAAAACATAAATTCAAACCAAACTAACAAACCCTCTCTAGAACAACACATTTTACTTTCCCAAACCTTTCACACCTTATAATATACATACAACGAAAATGTCCCAAAACCGTCTTCCAGGCTCCACCCGCGGCGGCGCCAGCGCCCAACCCACACCAGCCAACAACTCCGGCGGAGGCAGCGGCTGGGGCGACGAGGGCTATCCCAAGGGAGGAGGTCTAGGAACAGCGAACCAGACGTCGTCGGACGATGGGGTTCCTGTACGTTCATCCATCCCACTACCCCTTTCTTTACCTACCCTCTTCTTGGAAAGCAATGCTAAATAGATCTATGTGATTAGTCCGACATCCTCACCACGCCCGCCCTGCAAGGAATCTCGCAGCAAAAGCAAGCCGCAGAGCAAAAGTTCATGAATCGGTGGGATGAAGGACATGATGAGCGGGAGGGAACTTGTGCTACGGAAGATCATAGCTTCATGGGCACGAAGCCTGGTGGGTCGGATGCGTTGCCCGGTTGGAATGTGCTGAAGGATAAGTTGGGATTGTAAGCTTGCCTGCCTGCTACTCCTTCCTTCCTGATGCTCTGGCTGTTCCGTTTTTGGGATGCGGGCTGATGGGGTGGGGTTGGGTTTTTAGTCTTTATCCGGAGTAATTGGGATTTTTCTTCTGGGGTTGGTAGGGTTAATGAATGATATGAATGAATGGTATCAAATGAAATATGGTTTTGGGAATTGAGAATTTGTTATGTATTTATTGGGGAGGGATGTTAAGAGGGGTTGAACAGGCGTTGATAGTGAGATTGATGTGATATGGTTGGTTTATTGTATTAGTATAGCATGTATGTAACATTGAAGATGGATGCATTGTTTATGATAGCTTTTCCGTCTCGTCTATTCTTTCTTGGCTGTCTTGCCCTTGATTCGGTCTCGTAGGGCTACTATCTTGCCCCCCAGGCGTCCCTTAAGGGTTTGCGCGGTCAACGCGGAGGCTTCTTCGGCCGTAACGAAGCGACGGACAAGAAGGTTAAAGATGCTGCCGAAGGCGAGCGCAACTACGGTGCTGGTCAGGATGATCACGTTGTATGGCATGCTGAAGTCGGGGGTGGGAAGCGGGAGGAGAAGGCTGGTGGTGCGGATATAGATCGGGTGGTTTTGGCCGTTCGCTGCGTCGAGCTTAATTACGGCGGGAGCGACGTTGAAGCCGCGGTTCGCGTCCGGGGGATATTCTGTGTACCGCAGGATCGCTTTCTCAAAGTCGTATGTGAGAGTCACAGTTGACGCAGGCGGTATCGTCATTGCCAGCTCCAGCTGTGTTCCTCGCTCTCGGTCGATGGCCGGTCGGTAGAAGGATTCACGGATAAATTGGGAGGCGGGTACTTGTTGGCGTAGTCCATCGCGGCCTGTGATAGAAGCCTGCAGTGTGTGGACATATGGTCGGAGAAACCATGGTAGTGTCTCAAAGTAAATGAAGTCGACAGAGTTGGAGTCAGACGGGTTGTCGAAGATGATCCGCATGCCACCGCGCTCTTGGCCGTGACCAACAATCGTTCTCTCCGCGCTCAAGACAGGCTCATCAAGTGGCACATGAGTGGTAACTTCTTGTTCAGGGATGGTGATGTCGAACGGAGTAGAAGGCTCCAAAGTGAAACAGCGAGTGAAGCCATCCGGCCTCTTGGTCTCCACTGCACCTGGAGTAACAATTACCTCGCGCTCATGCGGCACCCGTAGGCAGACCGGCTCTTGAGAAGCATTATCCGTGAGAGGACAAGCGCCACTGAGGGTGCGTCCGAAGATTTCCGTCAAGCTCCAGCCCTTTTCCGATGTGCTTTCCAAAGGATAGCAGGTATCATCGGAATGGTAGGGCTTGGATGTATCGCATGCAAGCTGATCAGAAGGTACAGGTCGCGGAATGGGATTGCCTGCATAGTCATTAGTATATGAATCAGACTTCAAGTGCCAATAAACGAACCGCGGGGTCGCTTCGACCGGTCAATATCAAGGACAATGTCCACGGTCTGATCGACATGCACGTAACACTCTCCTGGCTGAGGACAGACAGGAATGACATCCACAGACATGCTCTGCCAAGACGCATCAAACAGCTTATGTCCATCTAGAAGGCTAGAAACGCCTGCCTTGCCCTTGCACGGAAGTAACTTCAGGAATGGCGTAAGGTTTTCAGTGCAGACCACCTCACCAGGAAGTGTCCCGTGTAGCAGATGCAGATTACTGGAAGCTGGATGGTCTCCCATAAGTTCGAATGAAGCAACGGGGCGAGTGGTTCGGGTTGAGTCGATGAAATTCAGCGAGGCGCAAAACAATCCCGACAGAGACTGAGTCAGGGTAATCCATTTCGCAGAGGCCCTACTGTCCATCAGTATCATTGCACATGCTACGTCGTCCTCTCCTTCCCGGTCACACATACGCTTCATCATTGGGTGCATCTATCCATGCCCATAGCTCAACACCAGTACCACCCTCTTTGCTCCCGTTCCAAGGACGGGGACCCCAGCTCTCAGCATCCCATCGTCCAGTAGTGAACCGCAGATGAAGCTCCTTCGTGTTGGCGTGCTGTAGGATCTGACCTAATGCTCTCGGAAAGTAGCGGAAATGGCGTTCATCGAAGGACTCTTGGGACTCATTGCCACGAAAGTTGAAAGATGCTAACAAGGATGATTGCGGGAGTGGTTGGAGGTATAGGCTCTCGTGGTAGTCGGAAGTCGCTGATGTGAACGAAGAGAGCGCGACAACGAAAAGTAAAGTAAGGAGAGAGAGGACCGTCATCACGTCATGCTTGCCGATGCAGAAAGTTCTAGATACTGTGTAGTGATTCTATCGCGTACCTCACTACCACTAGCCTGCCATACACGGAGTGTAAGTTCAGTCCTCCGAGCGGCGGAGAAGAACGCTCGATTGCGATTTAATTCAAGCAAAGCTGAATAACAGGCTGACCGGGCCGCGCGACAGTATCAAGCCTGCATAAGATGTATCAAGCGTCAGAGTGTCCAGATCATGGCACCGATGTCGCCAACTAGTAGTAAGGTGGAAAGGCCGAGCTGTACTCCGCAAATCAGCGGGAATCGACAGGGGGACTCCGGTTCAACTTATATAAGCGCCAGCCGCGGTTAGCGCCACGCCCGCAGAATCTCGACTCTCCATCGCAATCTCCATTCAATCTCTCAGTTACGCTCTGACCATTCGTGCTCTCCCCACCCTTCATTCTCCCTCTGGCATCATCCCATCATGGCGGCGGAACAGAGAAAGCTGCTTGAGCAGCTTATGGGAGGTAAGTTGCCCAATCCTAGCTTCTACCAAGCTCTAAACAACAGCTAATCCAATTCTTTTTCCAGCGGACCAACTCATAGGTACCGGCGCTCCCTCTCGCAATGCGCAGCTCCAAATCACCGATCCGAAAGTCTGTCGCTCGTATCTTGTCGGCACTTGTCCGCATGACCTCTTCACCAATACCAAGCAAGATCTGGGCCCTTGCCAGAAAGTTCACAGCGAAGGATTGAAGACGGAGTATGAGACCGCCTCGGCGGCCGAGAAGGCCAAATGGGGATTCGATTACGACTATATGCGCGACATGCAGAAATACATCGATGATTGTGACCGACGTATTGATACCGCTCAGCGACGCTTGGAAAAGACTCCGGATGAGATCAGGCAGACCAACAACTTGGTAAGGCATACACTCACCCCCATCTACAGGATACTTCAAGCAGCCAAGAGAAGACATGGGGCTAACCACATCTCCAACAATATAGCTGAAACAAATCTCCGACCTAACGAAAACCATCAACACGGGCCTCCTCGAGATCTCGGTGTTGGGCGAAACCGGCTCCGTCGCACAGGCCCTGAACGAACTGCACAAGATCCGCACCGCCAAGCACCAGAAAGAGACATGTGAACGCGAATTGAAGAACCTCCAAGATACCTCCGGTCCGTCGGGTCATCAGAAGCTGCAAGTGTGCGATGTCTGCGGCGCGTACCTGAGTCGTCTCGATAACGATCGTCGGTTGGCGGACCATTTCTTCGGAAAGATGCACATGGGATACTCGGACATGCGCAAGGGGTTTAAGAAGCTCAGCGAGGAGCTTAAGGGACGGCCTCCGCCGGTTCGTCACCACGATGACGATGATGGTGGCTGGGGTGGACGCTCCGGTGGTGGACGTGGTCCTAGGTATGGCGGTGGTGGTTACAAGAAGCGCGGTCCTCGCTGGTAAAATATTGATGAAGCGTCTTGTCTTTTTTCTTTTCTTGGAGTTTATTCTGCAATGCTGTTGTAATTTGTCTGGATTTGCATAGCGCAGGCGTTCTTGTTACTACTACGTCTGGGATGTTACGGATTAAATAAAAATATAATAAACATGTACAGGCCGACTGCATTGCTTTCAACTTTCGTCTCCGGATCCCCTATGCGGACGTGTGACAATGAGGACTGAGTAGTAGTAATAGTATTACGATAATATCATATTCGAGTTGTTTACTGAGTATATGAAGTCATCATAGAGAAGAATGGTATAAAATAGTAGAATAGTGTTCATTTTGACATACAAATTCAACGCATGTAAAACAGCATGCGGATAAGAACAAGATGAGATGAGGGGAAATTCCATAGTAAAAAAAGAAAAGAAAAAAAAAAGGAGAAGGGATAAAAATAACAAACCCAGTGTTGAAACAAACCTCGCTGGGGGTACATAAAGTCCATTGTTCATGGCAAGCACTAAAAAGCAAAGAGAACAGATCAAATAGATAAGCAGCCCGTAAAGTCGCCCAAATACCCGTTTTGGAAAAGAAAACCCTACCCCAGCACATGGGAATAGCAGTGCGGGAAAAAAAAAAATTACACCAAGCCCCTGGAGATAACCCTGCAAAAGAAAATGGAAAGCGAAGATATGGGAGAAGAAAGACGTTACTGTACAGTAGGCAGTGTTGAAACACCCTTTCCCCCCCCCCTTTCTCTCTTTTTTATTTTTTTTTGTATTTGTCTCTCTACCGTGCATTCTGCTGTGGACCGTGTCCGTTGGTCCTGGTCGCCGTTGCTAACTCTTCTATCAACATCGTGTAGTTTGAGCTGACTTCTGGTCGACGTAAGAGGATATCCCGGACCACGCTTAGCTGGGAGGCATCAGCGTTCGGGGCATGGGAAAGAAGTTGTTGGATAGCGGGTGTATTGGCTTGCGCACCGAGGACCTGTATTGCGGCGGCGAGCCCGGTGAGGGGTGGTTGGTTGGGCTGTGGAGGCTGGTAGGGGGTGAATTGTGGAGCTGCAGGTGGTGGCTGTTGTTGGTGTTGTGACTGAGCTTGATGCCCATAGGGTATTTGCGTTTGAGGCGTTCCGTCGTAAGATGATACAGGAGTGGGTGTGAACTGGGACGCAAGCGGCGGTCCAGGAGTCAGGAAATGCGCCTGCTGAGGCGTCCCCGCTGCCACGGTCAATGGACTGGCAGAAGCACCGGGCTCCTGGCTCGGGAAGTGCGAAGGAGGCTGCACGGATGGTGGATTAGAATCGCCGGTCTTGACGGCAAAGACCACGAGCATGACGCGCTCCGGTGTCGGATCTTCAAGAGCGTTGTTCTCTAGAAGCTCGATGAACTCCGGCTTCTTGGTGGAGCCTGCTTCAATAGGGATAAGGTAGGTATCCTTGACAGCTGGCAATGGATGTTTGCCAACAACACCATATCTCGAACGGTCTTGAAAGTAGCTGAATAGCTTATCGAACCCTGCACGGTCCTTAGGGGAGTCGGGGCGGGTGATCGAGATAACAGTCACATCAGTCGAGGAGCTGAAACGTAGACCGCAGAGGTATTCGCTGGCGAGAGCAATCTCAATCCTTCCATCAATGGACAATGTCGGTGGAGCAAGCTGACTCCATGGTATGCGTCCGCTCAAGTCAGCTCCTCCGACATGCTTCGCGGAGGAAGTAAACTCGGTAATCGGATTCATGACGACCTTGCCATGCCAGATGGACCCTTCGTCATGAAAGTCCTTTGGTGAGTAGGGGGGTGAGTCGGGCTCATCGTCTCCCAATAGTTGATCGATCTCAGCATCAGCCTGAGCCTTGGCTGCTGGCAGCTGCTCACGAATATGAGCAGACACTTCGGGGAAGACCTGCTCATGGCTGGTGCCACCGGGAGAATGAGCCCGCGCGGGGAAGTGGTCCTGGTGAGTGGTGACACCATCGGTCATCTTGGTGTCAACATCCTGTGATTTCGATGCCTTCCGGGTGTCATCAGTCTGAGCCTGGGGGCCAGGGGTCGTTGGGCTCTGGCCAGCGGAGCTGCCATCAGGATCAGCCAAACTGCGTCGAGCGGCAGCAGTAGAGAACACGGGCTCGCTGGCGACATTGTGGTTATCATCTTCAATAAACTCTTCACCCTTATGGGTCCGTCTAATGCGAGGCCCTTGTTCTTGCACGATGATGTGCTGCCGTTCAGCTTCCCGCTTGATTTCGGCATCCTTCTGCTGCAGTTCCTCACTTGCCATGTCTTGGGTGCTCATCTTAGAGAGGGCATCGGGAGATAAACTACCTACGAGCAGACGGTCCCGTAGAGAAGGGTTCTTCTTTACGTTGAACATGATCGTCCGCAATTGTGACCTATACGGCTCTGTGGGCTCCCCAGTTCCTCCGCATATATTCTCATACATAGCGCTCTCGAGTGAGAGAGAAAGCTGCCGGGCAAATTCCTCCACCGATTTCACCCCGGACCCTTCGGGAATTTGGAACGATCCTCGTTCCTGGGCCTGAGTAATCTGCTCTACAAATAACTTGACCAGAGCTTTGGCAACACTCTTGCGAGATGGATGCGTAAGCTGGTCCGCGGATTTCGAGCTATCAGTCACTGCTGTCCCTGCAGCAGAGCTTTTCCGGGAAGAAGGCGCACTGGGCTCCTCCTTCACTTGAGCCGGTTTGGCAGCGGGCGCTGGCACCGGCGTCGCAGGTGCTGGCGGTGACATCTTTTGCTGCTTCGGTTTCGGTCCCTGGTGTGTCAGTGTTAGCAGAACTCTTCTCAACCGATGATATTTAAATTAACGAGAACTTACCGGTTCAGGCACTTGCGCCTCTTGGTGCTCATCGAATTTGCGCTTTTGGGCGCTTGTCGACTGGGTTTCAGGAACATGTCCATTCTTCTCAGGAGCTGGCGTCTCGGCTTCAGGAACTGGTGCGGCCGGCGCAGGAGGCGCATCAGGCGCATCAGGGGCAGCAGTAGAGGCTGGAGCGGGAGTTGAAGAGGTTGCAGCGCGCGCAGGTGTGCTGGTCTCTGTCTTGGGCTCGCTAGCTTTGCGCTCGCTGGTCTGACGCTCACTGGCCTGAGACTCACTCGTTTTGCGCTCGGCCGTCGGAGGTTCGCTGGCCTTGGGCTCGACTGATTTAGATTCGCTTGTCTTAGGCTCAGACGCCTTGGGTTCACTTGGTCTGCCTCTTCGGCCGCCCTTCTTGCCCTTTCTGCGTCGAGATGCCTTCTTCTCCTCAGCTTCCTTGCGCCTCTTTTCGGCAGCTTCCTCCCAAGGCTTTTCACCACGCGCGATCTTTTCGAGAAGAACTTTGTGATTCTCTGGCTTGCATTGCTCACAGAAGTATTCGTCCGGTTCTTCCCCCTTCGCGTATGTCAAGCCCATACAGTCATTGTGTTGCCAGGCCGAGCATCGATCGCAGCAGATCATGTCGCGCTCAACATCTTCCTCCTCTTCATATTCGCCACAAATGCATCGAATGATTTCTTCTTCTTCGCTGGGAGCAGGCGTCGGTTCGGCGGAGGGTTTGGGAGGCTTGTCTTTCGGCTGGGCTTTCGCCTTGGACTTCTTCGCGGGCGTTTCGGTGATCATGTCGAGGTTCTTGTGCTGGCCCTTGGTCGAGCGACCGGAGCGTCGTGGTTCATCTGGCTTAGTAGTTAGCTTTCTGTCCCGACGAGAAGTGGAGTGTGCTGCCAGTCGCCACCCATCGGGAAGGCCGACAATGGTCGCACGACTTTCGGTATACAATAGCTTACCGGCCATGATGGAAGTATATAAGGTATTCAAATTTCTACGGCGCGAAGCTTTGGGGGTTGTAAAAGGTCTGAGATAGAGTGAAGAAAAAAAAGGATTGCGCACGCCACCCAAATCTCGTTCTACGGCATCAGAAGGGCTAAAGTAATACACAGAGGAAGGCTCTGAAAAGTGGCACTTGTTTTTGTTTGCCCGGTCCACGCAGGTATTACTTTGTCCTTGCACTTCCAGCAGCGATTTTTAGTCTAGAGACAACGCGTGGGCGCCGGTGGGTGGTGTCACACCAAGCGGTTGGGTGGTGCTGAGTCTCGTTTGAATGCTGTCGCGCGCAGCGTGAATGCTTGGCGTGAGCGGGGTCGCGTGTAGACTGCGCAGCGCCTGAGGCGGCTTATCCCCGAGTGAATCGAGAGCTGACGATGGAAGTTTCGCAGAATAGCCTCGCAGGAGTGTCTGGTGATGAAATGAACGTCCAGCGACGAGCAGCGGGGGATGCTGGGAGATGGAAGAAGACAGATGGTGGGAAGAGAGGAGATGCTGTCGCGGTTGGATCGGGATGCTGAGTCATGCGCACGTGACTGCGGCTCCGCGGAGAATGGCTTGGCAGGCGCCAGTCCGGCTCCTTCTCGTCGCGTCTATTTTTCGGCGCCCTCGAAAGCTTCTCCAGATCCCCACATAGACTGTCTTTTACTTCTCACGATCTTCTTGCCCGTGCTACTTTCCCCCTCTCCGAAGTTGACGTGTTGTTTAGAGCTCATCTTAAAATCAAATCAATACCTATAATCTTTTACTATCCCACCTTTACTCAGTACAGATCATGGCAGATGTTCGATCATTACTTCGGAATGAGCTCGCCGCCCGCAAGGGCTCATCCCAGGCAGGGAGCAGCGCAACGAACCGTGTGACCAAAAAGCGCAAGGTAGACCCAGCAGATGATTTGAGGCGCAAGAGGATGAGGGCAAGTGTGCCATCTGGTCCGTCGACCGCGCATACCGTACAACCGCCCAGTGCACGAGCTATCGAGGAGGAGGAAGAGATGGAGGGATCAGAGCAAGACATCGCCGGACCGCAGCCGCCATCTGACATCGCAGTTGAGCAGCCAACTGCTCAACCCGATGTACAGCCATCAGATACGCCTCTTGTAGCCGCCGAACCGCCTGCCCCGACCACTCAAACCATCGATGAGGATGAATGGGCCGCTTTCGAGCGCGAAGTTGTCGCCCCCACCCGCATGCCGCATAGACCGGCTGCGCTCGCCGCAGAAGCGACCATATCAGCAGCGCCAGTATCTGCAGACGAGCTCGCCGCTCAGCAGCAGAAAGAGACCGAAGCGATCAAGAAAAGCCGTGAGGCTGAGGTCGAAGGAGAAAGGGAGGATGCAGCGCGGTTTATGGAAGATGAGTTTGATGAAATGGAGCAATTAGAAGAGCGTGTCAGACGTCTGAAGCACAAGCGTGAAGAGCTGAGGAAATTAAGAACCGTGGAAGATGCAGAAATGCAGAGAATGGACGAACCTCCTTCCGCTGCTAGCCCGTCAGGGGACCAATCAAACCCACCTGCAGGCAACGCAAATGAAGATGAAGACGATGAAGACGACGATGATGATTATGACGATGACTGGGACAATTGGAGATTCAAATGAATTTAACGCGGCTAAGGGTCGGGTGTGGGAAATACAGGCGTCATTTCATACGAGGGAGGTCCCGGACTTTTCTTACTTACAGTGATACCCAATAAGCTATGTGAAATCACAGGCCATTGCTCTTAATTTTCTTAATGGGCCACAGTACACTTTTTATCGGCGTGGGCGGTATCCCGTGTTTCATGATGGGGCAGCGACATATTGTACTCTTAACATATTATCTACGATGAAACTCCTATATGCGAGAGAATGTATACTGGATCAGCCAGAAAGGATGGAAATGTATTTTTACAGTCATTTGCAATCATAAGTATGCTTTATATATCACATAGGTTACCACTCTAACTCTTTAGGGGTGTTGACTGGCGTTCTCGCCTTGGTCCTTTGAAGACTGATCTTCGGCTTCTATGTAGCTTCGAAGTCCACCCCTGTTGATCCTCATAGCTTCCTCGATCTCCGCTTCCCCTTCTCTCAGAAGATGTTTACCGCGAACAAGCTCGCCCTTTTGCTTTCTTTTCTCCTCTTGTACCTGCTTCTCTCGTTCAGCCAGCGCTTTCTCGCGTCTGTCACGTTCAACCTTCTTCCGTTCTAGCTCTTCTCTTTCCTCGGCGGTCATGTCGCTTTCTGGAGCAGCCGGCAAGGTAGAGATGTAAGCCTCAATAAGCGGATTCCGCGCTTTAGGCGTGAGGGCGATGTATCTGAGATCGGTGATGATGGACGGAGGGAGAGCCTCCAGATTAGATGACCGATTTAGTTCGTGTAGTGGCACAGATTTTAGTAGCGCTGAAAGATCAGACTTGCGCGTGCTTTCTGACTGTTTCAGTCGAGAAACCAAATCGCGATAGTACTTCTCTCGATCTTTGTCTGACATTTGCGTATCCTTCATCTCTGGTTCCTTTTTGTATTTGCGCTTAAACTCGGGCCAATACAACTTTGGTGTGGCGTGTTCCTGGAGGAAAGCCAGGTACTTGATGCGCGGGTCCTTCTTTTCTTCCTTCTCTTTGCGTTCTTTGAGTTCTTGAATCCGGTCACGACTCCAGTTGGACCAGACCTCACGGCGCGTTTTCATGTTTGGTAGCACAGTGTAGCGGGTATCATCAATGATCCGGCCTTCTTCGATGATCTTCTCCCACGTGGAGAATGGGTTAATGCGATAGTCGTCAAGAAGATCACGGAATAAAGCTGTGGCATCCTCCTCCGTGAGCGGAAGGCCCTCTGCGCCTTCTTCCCATTCTTCTTCTCCGGGTTCGCCGTATTCGCCAGGGTCAAGGCCATATTCTTCTCCCATTGCCGCCAGTTGGTATTCCATATCCTCTTCCGTGAACTCCAACGGCTGTTGGTCGTCCCCTTCTTCGGTTCTCGGTCGCTTGAAAGGTTGCTCTTCCTCACCCTCGCTGTCAGTAACTTCGACCTCCTCATACTCATCGCTCTCTTCCCCGGCCGCTGGAGCAGCACCAGCTTTTGCTTCTTCCAACTGTGGTTGCTCGGAGACCTTAGCTTCCGGTTCTTCTTTGGCGACAACTTCCATCTCCTCGCCCCGCTCCTTCCTCTCTTTTGCCTCTCTCTCCAAGCGATCGTATTCGAGGACCCCTATCAGGACCTCCGGGGGAATCTTCCAAAAACTTTCGTTTGTTTCGGGGTTGTGTACAAATCTCCTTCCCAGCTTCGTCTTCACGAGCACCCATGGCGCGCAGCCAGGAATGTCATGTTTGGTTTTCGGCCTATCCTGTGGCCCACGGGGCTTGCGGTCATGGTAGCCTCTACCACCACGAAAGCCTCCGCGTGATTGACTATCGAACGGTGCTCCGTGTGGTGCAGCGCCATGCCCGAAGCCATGAGGAGCATAAGGAGTCGAAGAGAAAGGAGGAAGTGTATCCGGAGTTAAGAATGGCGCTTTATTTGAGGGTTCTGGTGCTGCGGCGGGCGGAGGCTGTACGGGAGCGGCCTGAGGTCTCGTATATGTGGATTGCTTTGTCTGCGAGTTGTAGTAATACAGATGACCTAGGCTTGATTAGAGCGACTCTAAGAGGAATCCGGGTAACTGGCAATCAAACCTGAAGGAGCTTTATGTTCGGTCCATCCTGGAGGTAACGGAGGGGGCGGGGTATACGTAGATTTAAGCATTGCGACCACAGAGGATCCAAGAGATTGCGCGAAAAGGTATCAATTAAGTGACAATAGTATAACAAGACATTCGGTTGCAGTTTGAGGCGCGAAGGAAAGATTTCCGGAGCGGGATCGCGCAGGCCGAGAGCTTTCGCAATGAGAGTTCGGGTGGTCCGAGCTTGGCGGACTGACGGTCAGCCCGGACGCTCAGAGGTGGACGCGCCAGGGCGAAGTTGCCTGGTCACCACTCTGCGGGAGCTCATCCGACCTTCCTGCACAGCTCGCCCGTCACTCATTCCTCATCTCCAATCCTCCCTTTTCTCTGTCTGTTTTCTTCCACAAACAATATTCTCCCATAATCTACTCAAGTTGACGTCCATTTCAAGATGTCACGGAGATACGATTCCAGAGTATGCCTGATTCCCAATTCCGTCGTTCCTTGGGAGCTTTAGCTGACCCGATGACGTCCGTCTACAGACTACCATCTTCTCCCCCGAAGGTCGACTCTACCAGGTTGAATATGCGTTAGAAGCCATCTCGCATGCCGGTACCGCCCTAGGAATTTTGGCCAAAGATGGAATCGTCCTCGCAGCGGAGAAGAAGGTCACCAGCAAGCTACTGGAGCAGGACACATCTGCGGAGAAGCTATACACGCTGAACGAGTATGCATCGCAGCCCCATCGAATTGCAGGTCTTTTTGTGAGATGGAAATCTAATGTTTGGGCAGCAACATGATCTGTGCTGTTGCTGGTATGACGGCAGACGCAAACATCCTTATCAACTATGCCCGACAAGCTGCCCAGCGGTATCTTCTCACCTACAACGAAGAAATTCCTTGCGAGCAACTTGTCCGTCGTCTGTGCGACTTGAAGCAAGGATACACCCAGCACGGTGGTCTCCGTCCCTTCGGTGTTTCGTTCATCTATGCCGGCTACGACCCTCTCCGGGAGTTCCAACTGTACCAGAGCAACCCCAGCGGTAACTACGGTGGCTGGAAAGCAACTAGCGTGGGAGCAAACAATGCTAGTGCTCAGAGTCTGCTGAAGCAAGATTACAAGGAGGACTGCGACCTGAAGGAAGCTTGCGCTATGGCCGTTAAGGTTCTTAGCAAGACGATGGACTCGACCAAGCTGAGCAGTGAGAAGAGTAAGTCATGACCGATCCTTGTCCGTGATTACCCGTACATGGGTACCACGCTGTCACGGTACCGTGACCTATGCTAATGCGTTGGCCCCTACAGTCGAATTTGCTACGGTGGGGAGGACGCCGGAAGGCAAGATCTACCACCACCTGTGGAATGCTGATGAGATCAATGCCCTTCTGAAAGAACACGGGCTGGCCAAGGTTGATGACGAGCCCGAGGCTGGCGAGATTAAATAAATGAGAAGACGACCCGATTTTGCTACTTGACCAGATAATCCCACATGTTTCCTGTGCAATAATCGCGCACTTTTCTGCCCAACGTTTACGATGTAGATTCTCTACAGTCTCGTATATATACACTCGTATGACAGGTCGCTCCAAATCACTCACGGCACGGGTGAGGCCTATAGCTGCATCTGAAGCGCAACTGACGTCGGCCACGGGTGACGTGGCAAGCCTTGATGTCGAATTAAGCATCGGGCAATTCATTGCAGGTCTACACTCGCGTCTGTCGACCGGAAATGCCCAAAGCCATCATTGATCTTGGGACATGAATGGTCCACGTAGTCTTCAAGCCCTCGAGCACCCTAGGCGCTTGAACAATGCTGAATGTTTCGGAACTTTAATGAGATGTGAGGCCCCGTATATATAAGAATCCCCGGGATCCAAGCTGGTGTCTTGTTTGCAACACAACCACAACAATACCAAGCGAATGCACCGGCTGTGAATGTGTTTCGATGTCAACCTGTCCGGTCTTCTTGAGAATTTGACGGCCGTGTCATGGAAGCATCGTAGGCGCGGGGTTATTGAGAGAGTCTCTATGCATACCCCCAGGATCACTCAAAGATGAGTCAAGCCCACCGAATTTGTCATAATGAGATATCAGTGTTAGGTTTCTTTCCGGATTCTTATGAGAAGATTGAAGACCGCAGAAGGCAATCACTAACTTGGTAGCTTTGGTGTGGAGAGGAGGCCATCACGTGCGATGGACCGCCCAAACGCGGGGTACACAACTCCATGATCAGCTCCGTATCTCCCTTCCCAATCTCGCCAGCCTCTGCTATCAACAATCATGATACGACCATGGTAAAAAGAAAGTAGTTCGTACAGTTGGACTACTTGGTTTGGTCTTTGGGTTGACGACTTTCCGACTCTAACCCCACTTCTCACAATGGCCCCTACTTCTGTTCCAATTGTTATGGGAGTCTGGTTACCTTGGTCTGGCGAGCCGCTCGTTAAGGACATGGGCGCTTATGATGTGGAACACCTCCTCGTGAACGCTGCACGAAGGTACCAGATTTGCACAAATGAAACCTTTTCATTGGATGTTATGAATTCTCGACAGCAGATTGCTTGATTCACACTTTTCCCGCCAACCATTGCATGGGCCTGGCGTGAAGAACCAACCTCCATTCGATCATCAGAAACAAAAAGGAAAGAAAAAAAAAAAATATTAGGAAAAGAAAGGTGTCAAGTGACACAGCCCCTGTGAGGCACAGAATTTACAAACAGGAACATGGTCTGAAACCGAAAGACAATACCAAAGAGGGAATCCTAAGCACAAATGAAAGCAACAGCAAGTGGCCCAACGCATGGCCCCTGAAAAGTTTCCATCCTTCTTTCATGAAAGTGCCTTTCTTCTCTCGTCACGCTCCCGCTGCAGTTGGCGAATTTCTTTTTCGAGCTCCATGACGAGTTTCTGTGACCGGTCCATGGACGCTACGAGAGTGCTTCCCTCCCGTTTCCATCGATTCAAGCGTTCCACCTCGGCGCTTCGCCGCCGGTACTTGGTTTCGATCTTCTCGCACAAGCGGCATAGTGTTGTTTCAAACTCAGTCATATTGACGAGCCTCATGCCGCAGGTCTCCCCAGTGCGGTACTCATAGTTGCAGCGGTGAGCGAAACTTGTCCAGCTCCAGTCTCCGCATGCAAATCTCTTCTGGTTGTAGAAACACATCCCTATCATTCAATCGTCAGCTAAAATACTAATCAAGCCGTGGTCAAACTCACTTGTTGCTGATACAGTTTGTTGTTTCACGTCGCTACTTTGAGTTCTATTGGTTCTGCCAAATGCTCCTGCCGCGCTGCAGAGGTTTGATAGGCTAAGCTTGCACGAGGCCTATGGAAGGTTGCCGGTTGTTTTAAAACGAAACACCTTATTCTGAATAACAACGATTTAGATCTCACGATAGCTCTTGAAGAAGCTGAGTCTGAAACGGATAATGATCCAGATTCAATCGACTGGTAGGCCCCGGGTCCTATTTATGTTTCGCAAGAAGCTTCTATGTTACGGCCCAGCCAGTTCTCGTACTCTACCAGTCAACCGTCGATCAACCCCTCAACATACGATGGCTTATCGACTACGGCATTCTGCTATCACTTTCACATCACATCCAGTGCTTTTCCGGTTGGCTATGCTGGGGTCTTCCAGCTGTGGAGACACAAGTTATCCACAACCTTCCTAATCAGGTCAGTTGTAGTCAGTGGATGCTTCACGGATGCATGCGTGTTGCTGTCGTGGCGGTATCATTTCTCCTGAATCAGGTTGACCCCTCGAAAATCCCTCATTTGATATGGACGGTTTTCGTCCTCCTGGCTGGGATTGCCATTGCAGCCTTGGTTGTTCCAACGATCATCCCCGCTTCCTTTCTGCGTCTCCGTTGCGTATGGAGTCGTCCTTCGAGAAGAAGACATGCCTCACCCTTACTGAATCAAAGCTCCTGCATGAAAAAAATAAACCGTTTCTTTATTTTGTGCCAGCTGTCAGGCCGTCCGTCTCACCGTCCAAACCTTTTTTGCCCCTTCTGCATCCAAGAAAAAAACCTAGTGTTCCGTCTTGAGTGGATGGAAAAAGCACAGTTTCGCTTTGCAGGACCAGTGTGGTTACGGCTATGATCATTTAGTCTGGTTTGTTAGATGCCTTACCACCATAACCTTGTGGCTAGTCACTCACAACCAATTAGTCCGCTCGCGAACTGGCCTAGTGTCATAACCTCTGATACGGACTTTGGGCCGAGGGTAGGGTGACTCCGAGACATCTGCCCAGTTGGACTTTACTTTTTTTTACTTTTTCCCCTCTCAACTCTTTACCTGACACCTAGTATGCCCAAAGGGTCAGGGTTCTGTCACCTGGTTGCAACCCTACCAAGTTCCTTCTACCATGTATCCCGAACACTGGTCCACACAGGAATCTGGCCCCCGTGCCAATGGTCATCTCGTGTACTCCGCATGTTTCCGTCTGGCTGATATCAACCAGATGTTTCTGCATCTAGTGGCGAACGACGCGTCACTAGAAGCCCTTCATTGGCGTCCATTGCTTCCTTGGATTTTACCTCGGGAGTCAACATGACATGCAGTTGCATGATGAGCTCAATATTCCATTAGGGACTGATTCTCTTCAGCTGATCTCCCACATCTGCAGACGAATAATCCCGCATTTGTCCCCGCTCGGGTGCAGGGTTTATCTTCATTTGCCTGCCTTCCTCGGCCAATATGATAGGATGTCGGCTCTGTACATCAGCCATGGCAGATACTGACTGTGGTACGGTGCACCTACTGTCGAACCCGTGCAGCTGCACTAAAGCTCGGAGTCTCACTGACGTGGCACGCTTCGTCTGGTCGAGGTGCTCGAAATTTCGGCCTTTCGTGGTGAAGAGGGGGGTTTTCGACGAGAAGATGGTGTACAGAATCCATAGCAACTCGAGCAAGGCAGCCTTCAGTTCCTCAGCATTGGCCTATAGGGGGTCAATGTACCCGAATTTCCGCTTGTCCGGACATCCTTCGAGATGATTGCATGAAACTCTCTCATGCGTCTGTACATCCATCACAGCGTTGGATCGTCGGTCAACCCGCCTAGATTCCCTGTGTGCTGAGAATCCGAGCATGGAATGATGTCGGTTGCCAACTCAGCGACTATCGGTTCTGGCTTACAGCCGCAACCTGGAGGCAACACCGGTTACCAACTGTTCTGCCACTCACGAGCTGCTCAATCTCAGTACTCGCGATGCGATTTGCCACCCCTCTGCCTTCTCTTGCGAGCTGTCTTACTTCGGATGTTTCTAGTCCAGCCTTGCCTGTGGCAATTGTACTTCCGTAACCAGGATTTGGCTCGATAGTTCCGGTAAATCGTCCTTGCCCAACCTGCCAGGATTTTCGATTTACGCCTGATGGTTGTGAGTTTCTTTTGGGCTGCAACTGTCCGGAAACTCTACGTTTTTTCTACTTTGAAGCCGAGTGATCTATCCACGACGTTGAAATTGGATTTTGTGACCCACATAATTGCACCGAAATACTGGGATTTTTCAATCCCGTGACTGTAACGTGACCGCAGCCCTCTGCGCATCTACGCATACATGTTTTTCTTGCAGTCAACAAATGGAATATGTCAAACGACCTTTCGAGAAATTAAGGTAAGGAAGCATTTCCCTCTGTTTCCGGCTTACGAGTTTGGATTGGCCAGCGGATGAAAGCATATTCGACGGTGTCAGCATGCTGTAGCCAATGAAGTGGTTCAGCTGGACGGGTGATATATGCAGCTAAAAGGACCCCTGTCATTGCTTTCTAGCCCGCAAAACGCCTAGACTAGACAAGTCCGATTGACTTGAGCAGGGAAGAATCATAGCGGGTCCTCGCATCTGCACGTTGGCACCTGCAATTATTTCTCTGCGGCCTCGAGTTTGAGGCATTCAGCCTTGCATGTTGCACAAGTCGGTTTGTGGCTTTGACCCAGTGCTCTTCATCCTGTCCATCGATCCGCCTCGACCGGCGTAAGCTCCCTGCGTTTCCCAATCGGGTATGATCTTTATGCGTGAGGCCATGACCCAGCCCATAAACATCCCCGCCTTGTGGACTATCAACGTCCAGCACAGAAGCCTGAACCATGAGGCAACTTCAATTAGCCCGGGATCTTTGCATGATCATGGTGATTACATACTTGAGTCTTGCGTCAGGCGGTCTCTACCAAATGCACGGAGACTGTGCCATCGCACTTCCATAGTCTGGGCTTAATTGAGGCGGCATCCGCGTGTAGCATGATTGACGTGTCAAGTCTATCACTCCGATGGACAGACTTTGTTCATTTTGCTTTTCCCGGTTGTGGCGACCTGATGAGTACAGCACCGTACTTCTTCCCGGCACGATGAGAAGCACAAGGCATCCACTTTGACCAGGAAGGCTGCCTACGATCGGTGGGGAACATGAATTCTGCCTTGCTCTATGTCTTTGAGGCGAGGCGATCACGCCGCTACTCTAGAAACGTTCCCCAGGTGGTAGGTGATGGGCTGATGCCATTTTTCCCTGTAGTTCACATAATCCAAACATTGAGACGCGTTTCTCTTTCACCAGACTATTTGGAATCTGGAAGGACCTTGTCGCTTATCGTCTTTTTTGCCCTCGTAAATCAGAGCCCTTTCCTTGTGTACAGTAGGTATACATCCGGATATACATCGGTGGTCACGTGGCCGCATGCACCCTGGCAAAGTAGATGACGTCAAGATGATAGTAGTCCAGCCAAGTTCCCTCAAGAGTTCTAACACAACCCCCAAGTATTTCTCTTCAATATCACTTCTCCTAGAATTTATTTTCAAAATACTACTCTCATACATGTACGCGAAGACACTTAACGCAATTCCCCAAAGCCCATTTAATCACCGGCTAACCATTGCTCCCAGAACTATATACATCCGCCACAACTACTACACCATCACCATTAGACCCAACAATTGAAACACATTCCTCTCCAATCCGGCTCAAAAACAACCCAATTCCACCAACCTACAGACCACCATGCTCAACCGCATCACCCCAATCGGCCGCCTGGTCCAACGCACCACTCAAATTCAAACCCGAACCCGAACCCTCCAACCCGCCACCCGCACCTTCCGCACCATCGCACCGCTGCGCACAACTCACCAGCAAAAGAACGAAACGAAATCCGGAGACCGCAACGTCCTCGACCCTCAGCGATCGGAGAGCTCCTACACCGGCACGGACAGCGAAGTCGCGGGCCACGACGCAGCCTTTGACCCTAGCAACACATCACCCGAAGGCCAGGTCGAGCAGGCGCAGAAGGAGTCCGAGCAGCAGGGTAAAGTGAGTAACCCTCTGGATATGAGTCCTGGAAACTCGGAAGTCAGTCATGCGAGGCCGCCCCAGGAGGGAGGTCCCGATCATAATGCTGAAAAGGAGGGGCCCAGCTCGAGGGGGTGGACGAAGAAGAACCGTGAGGTGAGGGGTGGGAATAGGAAGTATTGAAGGATTGAGGTTGTTGTATAGACTTTGCATTTGGTTTTTAAATTGTCTCATGTGTGAAAGTGCTTGTTTGTTGGGTTGAGTTGTGTATGGTATTGGATATAATAAGAAGCAGGCTGTTTGATCTTCAGTGGGATATATATATTTCGCAGGCTTGAGAGAGTAATTGAATTAGTCTTGTAACTTCATTGCTGAAATATATGACCTCTGAACCAAAAATAGTCTTATTAAAGCACTGCAGATAGCATATATAAATAGTTCATAGTACAATGACTCTTCTCGAACAGGCTACTACTCCTTCCCATACTGAATAATATCCTTCCCATACATCACCCACACCTTCTCACTCCCAGCCGGAACCTCGCCATTCAAAGCCTTAACTCCCGCATTAACCGCCGCCTTCGCAATAACATCCGCATCCTGCGCCCATCCATCCTTCAATCCGGAATGAATCTTGCCAACAAGACCCGCAAAGCCCCGCATCACCGCCTCAGCAGGCCTACTCTCCTGCCTCTCTCCGGAGATAAGTCCAGGGCGCAAGATAACCGTCCTCTCAAATCCCATCGCCTTCACCTCTTCCTCGATCTCACCCTTCATGCGGGGATATCCAAAGGATGAGTTCTTGTCAGCGCCGGTCGACGAGATCAGCACGTAGACCTTGGTGCCGGCATCGCGCGCCGCACGGGCCAGCTCAACATTCAGACCATGTTCAATCTTGTACTGATTCTCGAAGCCGCCAGCTGCGCCGCGGGTGGTTCCAAATGCGGAGATGAAAATGTCTGGCGTTGGGCTCAGGGAGGAGAGCTGCGAAGCCCACTTGGAGGAGTCGTCGGACACGAAGGTGGTGAGCTTTTCTTGAGGCGCGGCAGTGGCGGGTTGAGGGGTGCGACGGGAGATAGTGTCAATGCGTGCCACGGAGGAGTTGCCCAGGAGGTGGGTGAGGATGTGGCTCCCCTGCAGATAAGTATATTAGATGGTTTTGCTTTTGGCCGGGGACTACATGGCGGATTTGAAGGGATAGGTTTGACTTGTGCTGAAGGGGCTAGATTTGATTAAGGTAGATATAGGATGGATTGCTTACCACCATGCCGGTGCAGCCGATCAGCGCGACGTTGGCCATATTGGACTAGCAGCTGTTATATACAAAACTGGATTGGTGCAGAAAGGGATAACTACATGTAAGGAAGATGAGATGACGTTTTCCACCGACTTATCGTGGATGAGTAATCACCACTTATCGGCGGGTCCAGATCGCTGATGCCTCAGGACACAGTGACTGACTAATGCGGGGAAGGCCGAAAGCGGAGATATTCTGCCACCGGATCCCGCCTCCAGGATCTATCGATAAGAAATTGCGTGATTGCCACTAGCCGGATGGGGTAAGATCCCCTGGGATTTTCTATAGAGCGGCGGCGGCGACGGGCTTTTTATCCCCCCATCGCCCCTCCCAATCCGGCGCTGCTGATTCCTCTCCTCTTGTCTTTCTTGTCTTCATCCTGGTGGTATCGGCTGGCTGATTCCCCCATCTTCAGACAAGAATCCCCCGCCATGGGCTCTCCTTCTCCAGCCTTGTCGACCCTCGGCGGTCCGACTTATGTCACTGCCCAGACCCTCATCCAGCAAGTCGCTTATGTTTTGAGCGACAAGATCTTCTCCTACTCTCCGGAGTCCTTCGACTTGGATGCTGCTCTCCGGGAATGGTCCTCCAAGCAGGAGATCAACGCCAATGGCGAGTCTCCTGAGATCAAGGCCATGGAGACTCGCCAGGGTGCTGGTAACATCGCCCTCGGTTACATCTTCTCCCAGGACTTCGACCTGAAGAAGCGCCACATCCCTCAGGGTATTGTTGCTTCCTCGGCCACTCTCCCTTATATGCGTGCCGCCCTGGAGCAGCTGTCTCTCCTGTACTCCGTTGCCAGCCCCGTTGCTGCTCATGTCGCCGCTGTCGACTATGCCGGTGAGGACGGCCTTGTCTCCGACTATGCCTCCGCCCTCTCCCTCGCCGAAGAGCTTGGCCTGGGTCTGGTGTCGAGTGCCTCTGTCCATGAGTCTCAGCACATGGCTCTGCTCACCACTCTTCTGTCCTCCGTTCTGCCCTCCGTCCACATCTATGACGGTGTCCGCGTCGGCCGGGAAGAGACTCGCGTCATTGACGTCCTCGACCAGGCTGGTCTGTCTCGCACCTACGAGGCCGTCCGCAAGACCCTTGAAGACTCCCGCAGTCGTCATCTCGACACCCAGGGCAAGCTCCTCGAGCTCCTCCAGTCCCTGAACGGTGAGCTCGGAACCGACTATGGCCTCTTCGAGTACCACGGCCACGCTGAGCCCGTCTCTGTTCTGGTTGCTTTCGGTACCGTCGAGGCATCCCTCACTGCTCAGATTGCCCGTTCTTTGGCTAAGGACGGTGTTCGCGTTGGTGTCATCAACGTCCGTGTCTACCGTCCTTTTGTGGAGGAGGAATTCCTGCGCGTTCTGCCCAAGTCTGTCAAGACCGTTGGTGTCCTTGGCCAGGTCTCTGACGAACAGGCTGTGCAGGAGCAGGGTGTTCGCTCTGCTCTGTACGAGGATGTCCTTGCTGCTTTGACTTTCGCCACCGATCGGGAGCAGACCCCGGCTTGCATTGATATCAAGTACGCCCGCTCTCAGCGCTGGGATCTGATCAACACCGCTGCCGCTTTCCAGCTGGTTCACGAGAAGCCTATTGTCCAGGCTGGTGCCGAGTCCGAGCCTCTGCAGTTGCTCGACCCTGCCACCGTCCAGGAGTACACTTTCTGGGATGTTGACACCTCCTTTGGTGGCGACGTTGCCACGACTCTTTCCCAGGCCTTGGCTGCCGATTCAGCAAGCAATGTCACCACCAACAAGGTCCACGATAACCTCGTCCAGGGAGGTGTCGTCCGTGTTGACATCCGCAAGAGCTCCAAGATTGTCGATGCCCCCTACTCCATCACTGCTGCCGACACTGCCTATGTTGGAGACGTTAAGCTGCTTGGCGACGTCGACATTGCCGCATCTGTCAAGGACAACGGCAAGGTCATCGTGAACGCCCCTGGCGTGAAGGACGATGAGCTCGAGAAGAAGCTGCCTGTTGCTTTCCGCCAGGCTGTCGCTGAGCGGGGCATCTCCCTTTACTTCGTCGACCCATCTGTTGCCGGTGAGACCGCCTCTGAGTCCTCGGTCCTCCAGGTTGCTTTCTTGCGTGTGGCTCTGCCTTCTCAGGAGAGCGTGGGCATCAAGAAGCTGGCTTCTATTGGCGGTAATGCCGAGGCCCTGGAGAATGTTAGCAAGGAACTTGAGAAGGTTCTCCGCCAGATCGAGGTTCCCGAGGCCTGGAAGACTCCTGAGGAGGGAGCCCAGGTTGCTCAGCTCCCCAAGGACATCTCCCAAAACAGCTTCGTGTCCTTCGACAAGGAAGAGACCGAGCCTGCCTCCTACCTTAAGGACTGGCAGACCGCTGCCAAGGGTCTCGCTTTCAAGGAGGCCTACGGCACCAAGAATGCTCTGCGTCCTGAGACGGCTACCAAGACCTTCACTGTCCACGTCAAGGAGAACAGACGCCTTACTCCTGTCACCTACGATCGTAACATCTTCCACATCGAGTTCGACTTGGGTGACTCTGGCCTCAAGTATGACATCGGTGAAGCCCTGGGCGTGCACGCTGAGAACGACCCGAAGGATGTCATGGACTTCATCGCCTTCTATGGCCTGAACGCCGACGATGTCGTCGAGGTGCCCAGCCGCGAGGACCCAGCCGTGCTGGAGAACCGTACCGTCTACCAGGCCCTTGTCCAGAACATCGACATCTTCGGTCGCCCGCCCAAGCGCTTCTACGAAGCTCTGGCCGAATTCGCCGACGACGAGAAGGAGAAGACCGATCTTCTTACCCTCGGTGGCCCCGACGGAGCTGTGGAATTCAAGCGCCGTTCCGAGGTGGACACCGTTACCTTCGCGGATATTCTGCTCCAGTACCCCTCGGCCAAGCCTGACTTCCACGACCTGATCCGTATCGTCGGTCCCCTGAAGCGTCGTGAGTACTCCATCGCTTCTTGCCAGAAGGTGACCCCCACCACCGTTGCTCTTATGATCGTTGCGGTTACCTGGACGGACCCCACTGGCCGTGACCGTTTCGGTCAGGCTACCCGCTACCTCAGCCGCCTCCAGCCCGGTACCCCCGTCACCGTCAGCGTCAAGTCCAGTGTGATGAAGCTGCCCCCCAAGTCCACCCAGCCCCTCATCATGGCTGGTCTCGGTACTGGTCTGGCTCCCTTCCGTGCCTTCGTCCAGCACCGTGCTCTTGAGAAGGCTCAGGGCAAGGAGATTGGTGCCGTCTTGCTGTACATGGGCTCCCGCCACCAGCGCGAGGAGTACTGCTACGGTGAGGAGTGGGAGGCCTACCAGGAGGCCGGTGTCATCACTGTCCTGGGTCGTGCCTTCTCTCGTGACCAGCCTGAGAAGATTTACATCCAGGATCGCATGCGCCAGACTCTGCCTGAAATCATCCAGGCCTACATCCGCGAGGAGGGTGCTTTCTACCTCTGCGGTCCCACATGGCCCGTGCCCGATGTCACTGCCGTGCTGGAGGAGGCCATCGCCACTGAGGCCAAGAACCTCGGCAAGAAGGTCGACTCTCGCAAGGAGATCGAGAAGTTGAAGGATGAGGAGAGATACGTCCTTGAGGTGTACTAAGCGGAGGTTGAGAAAAGGTTGTGACCATAGAAGAGTGGGGATATCTAGCGCCGCGCGTTGTACATGATGTGATGTGATGATCTGTCCGTCCTGTTTGAGTTTAGCGCATACCAGCATAGAGACACCTGATCTACCAATTCAAAATAGACTTTTGCATTTTCTCTATGAATCTACTCTTCTCATAATCATCATCTATCGTAAATTTTAGATCTATGGGTATCTGCTATATCCATCCGCCCTTGTCCATGTAGCAGCCAAGTAGTAGTTAGTCTAAGCACATCCAACTTTTTTCTTTCACCCCGCCAAAACGGAAAAGGAAAAATTCGTAACCATAACTATAAACAAGAAGATATCGTTAAAAGCGGCCGCATTAATATCCACTTCTAATTTCAAGCCCGTCCCAGACTACCCAACTTCGTCTTTCCATACGCACCACCCTTCTCCTTCCTCAACTCCAAGGCCCGCCGATAAGGCGGCGCCGTAGGCGGCTGCACCGGATCCAAACTGACATGATCCGGCGGCAGCGTGTACGAGGCATCCGAATCCCAAGCCGAGAGATCACCGCATGCAATGAACCTAGGAATCCACCTGTTCTCGACGGCAAACTTCTCACCGGCAGACTTATACGCCAACGGCGTAGGCGTCACCGACGCCAACGAGTCATCGTGAAGCAGCCGCGCCTCCGTCTGGCTAGACTCCGCTGAAGCAGCGCCTAGGGTCGCCTCGGCCGGAGCATAGCGGGCCAGCTTGACGGGGCGTGCCTCGTCCTCGCTCTCGACCACCTCTACTCCGACGTTTCCGTCCGTTGAGACAGGAGGCGGGACAGCCACACCCCCGAAGATAGGGTTCTTCAGCGCGTCTGTTCCGGCGTGGATGGAAGGCGGGATGAATCCCTCGCACACGACGAACGCCTCCAGACTACTAGCGCGACTACTCCGCGGCTTCGCGACGCTGACTTTCTCGAACACAGTGCGGAGTTGCGCGTAGAGGAGATCAACGTCGCGGCCGCGGAAGATCTTGGCGACGAATTTGCCGCCGGGGCGGAGGACGCCCAGGGCGAGGTTGAGTGCCGAGTAGAGTAGTTGCGATTGGATGTAGATGTCGAGGTCGTGCAGGCCTGTTACGTCCGGAGCGCCGTCAGAGATGACCAGGTCGACGGGGTGAGGGGGACGAATGGCGGAGGGGGTGGTAGAGGTGGAGGTGGAGTCGTAGGCTTCAGGGTCCAGGGCGCGCAGGAGGAGGGGGATGGTGGAGGGGTGGGTGATGTCTGCTTTGAGAGTGGTGATGCCTTCGAGGGGCGCCATGGGTTGGAGGTCGATGGAGACGATTTTGACGTTCTTGCGGGGTTTCAGTTCGGTCATGTCGGTATCTTCTGATGAGGTGGTTGTGGTGTTTGAGCCATTGCGGACTCGTTCGAGGGCTTCCTTTTCCTTGCGCTTCTTCTCGACCCAGGCGCGGCGACCAAAACTCTCGCCCTTGA